CTTCAGGCTCCTAAAATACTTGCCCCCTTGTCCTGATTATTATATATTACCTACTAAAACAAAACTAAGAAAACTGCAATAATTAACATTACAAACTGTAGCACATTGCTACACTTGTAATTCTACAAAATTTAGTGAATAAGACAATATGAGTTACATTAATGCATTTTGCAACAGTGCAACAGTCACAATAGGACATTGCTAATATACAACACAGTACTTTAATGGAGGAAATAACATGAGAAACCACAAGATGTAATTTTTTCTAAATAAATTTTGAGGTTAATGCTTATCAAAATTAATCTTTACAGTAATCCAACAACAGAGTATAGTTTATGAAGGCAAAATAAGAACATAAATTGTCCCTACCTTAATGAGTATTTTTTGTAATTTACTAACAACCTTTTGTATCTTCAATAAAATTAATTATCTAACCTTCATGATTGCTATTCAGTATCCTCAGTGTGTACTGCATTAAAGTAGAATGTACTTGCACATTATTAATGTTCAAAATAAATGCAGAACATAAATATGTATCATATCTTCATTTTGGATGCACTGTACTGTACTTACTCTACAAAGAAAGTTGCTCGTTACCCTGTATCAGATTTACAAAAATTATTCGTACAGTAGCCCCTCTAAGCCTGGATCATTTCATTCCATATCTGATCTCCAGAAACCAAAATTTCCTTAAATTTGACCCTTTTATGGATACATGACACAAAATTTCCAAAATTTTCTTGTGGAAAGTGACAGAATACATGTTTATGCATATCCCAAAATAATAATGTTTTTGTCTACAAATAATAATTTTGCACAAAAGTAGTGTACTGAATATGAAAAATATAAGTGTTCACTTATCGTTTTGTAGTACAGGACGGTCTTAATACAGGCAGCAAAATGCAATTATAGTACTGTTAAACTTCTGAAGTCGGCCTTAACTGGCCTTTAAGTTCCCAACGGCCATGGCCCTTCTCTCGGTTCCAGACAGCAGCTGTTCACCACCACCAGCCACCTCAAAGGCTACAATGCTGCATAAATAATTGGTAAACAGCATCATCTAAATCTTCATTCTTAAACTTCAATGTATTTTGTCACTTTTTTTTCCACCAACTGCTTTTCATTTTATTCAACCTATATGATCATTGTCCTTAGCTTTTTTATGCCTTAAACAGCACAAATATAAAAATGATCATGTTTGTCTAATAACTTTGTTTTATTATCCATGGCAAAAAGCTTACCCTTGTCTGATGCATCCATACTCTCCTTACCTCATGACATGGCTTCAACTTGCAAAACAACAATATCTCTAATGAAAAGTCAGCAAAAAAGCATTGGTAATGAAAGATCAGACTTCATTCACACACAAAAGAAAACACAGTCAGAATGCACGCCCTCAGTAAGATTGGATGCCACACTCATATCTACAATTTATATTATAGTACCAGCTTGGTAAAACATTTCTAAAATATAAATGCATTATTTGAAATATTATTTTGAAAGCAAGAGTAGCAAAAATGAGAAAATAGAACAATGAGTTAATCAAAATTACTTTATATGACGAACCAACGATCTAGGGTTCACTGCGTTCCTCTCAAGAATCTGGAGTCTTCTTAGTAATTTTAATTTTTGTGGGGAAAATCTGGTGGATAGATTTTTACCATTGTATAAAGGGAACTGTACAAACTTGGGAGGGTGGTCTATTTCAGAAACATAATTCATACAGTGAAAGAAATGTGCATATAAAAAATAATTCTGACTGTATGGATATTATCATAACACCAACAAAGCAAATTTGTAGAGAAAAAATAAGCATTGACAAAATTAATTGAAGTAATGATTCCATACAAACTACCTTCATTTATTTATAATAACATAATCTCCATTTTGTTTTAGATTAATGTTCATTAAAATTGCATGGTAGATGTGCAGTGGCCATAAACTTAATTTGGCATAAAGATCAATAAGCACTGGGCTGCCAAGATCACTAATACTAACAACCAGCCCAATAAAGATATCACAGGTGGCAATATAGGTAAAATGACTTATCAATTTGTTACTGCATTTTAAGAAATAATACGCTTCAAATCTATCAGGCAACTAAATATTAAAGCACTACAGTACAGTATATTCATAACCAAGCCAATATCAATGTTCCAAAAATGATGTACCATGAAACCTAGCTTAAGGCTCAGTGTACCAAGCTTTCATTCATTCATCATTATTACCTAATTTCCCACTTTTATAGGGAGGGGAGGCATCAGCCTGGGAAAAAAAGGCAAATAATAGTGAAACGTTTCATATACTGTATTAAAAATTATATCGCTTGTCATTCATTATATCATTAATACTATACAGCATCAAAAATAAATAAGCATCACACTCCATCAGTCATCCAAAGCACCACCTCCACCATTCCTTACAGTGCCCTAATTGCCACCCACAATACAAATACATTCACCGTCTCCCTACAAACTGCTAACACCTAGCCTTGTCACTTACAATATCTGGTACATTGTTCACACTCAATACCCACTTTCTTACACACCAGGACTACCCAGAGACAGACAGGTCCAACCACAGAAGGACAAACAGCCCACAAAGCTAGAGGAAAGAGACTTCATCTGTCTCTCACACTGTCAAAATGGTTGAAGTGAGAGAGACCAATCAGCTGAACAGTTGACCAAAATGAAGAATAATAATACTGAAAACCAAAGCCGAAAAGCTAGAATGCTACTAGCCCCACAGGGAACAGAAATGAACTAAACTGTCCCCCTAGGTGAGACACTGGAATGACAGGAGGTGAAAATTGACTGAAGATGGAGAGCAAAGGTCTACTGAAGACACCAGGGCTGAAGCATTGTCAAGACTGGTTTGAAAACCCATACCTAAAATTTTCCACTTTAGTACTGTATGCCAATGGCAAGGATTCCAACTGGTCTAGCTGGAAACAAGGCTACAACCGAGGGTTGACACAACACAGAACAGTCAGAGTGCCAGAGGAGGAGGAAGACACTATGGCACCAAACCCAGAGGAAAAAGACAACAGATATTTCATCTTAGGCAAAACTGGGCCATGCATCACACTGCTCTGGCAGTGGCAAAAGAAGGCTCATTAGTAAAAGCCAAAAAGTGGCCACAGCCAGCTACAGTCCTGTGGGGCAGGTGAGGTTAGATTGTGCAAGAGGTGTATAAAATCCCAACAGAAAAGCCGAGACCATTCTAACATCAGCCGGAATGCAACAGGACTGACAACGGTGATATGGAAGCCGGCCTAGCATCCCAGACCAGCCAAACCCTGTAAAGCCACCATGTGTGACATCCTTCAGTTAATCAAAAATTTTGGAGCTAGGAAAGAACCAGATTCCTGACCAGTAGGCATATCAGATGACTGGTAGCCAAAATTAGCCAGTTTAAGTGGAAAGCAAATTTCCTGAAACTGATATAGGAGTACCACACAATCTGAGGGCCAGGGTAGGACCAAGATAGCAGAGTCTGAGAGTGGTATGAGATATGCCCTACACAAATAATCTATTTGCTGACCAAGGCAGAAGCAGCAGAGGAAGGAAGCTGGCCAATATGAGGCATAAGTGTCGGTCTTTAGGATCAGACACTCAAAAGATCCATAAATAAATGAACGGGAAGATTGGCATCTGTACCAAAAACTTTCACATGCACCTCAGGTGAAAAGGATACATGGACAAAGGCACATGAAAAAGGCAACATGACTGACTATCAGACAATGAACACTGAAGCATATCCTGGAAAACTTCAAACACCAGCATCAGTTATAGAAACCAATTTAAAAACCATAACAACCCTGCCAAATACACATTACCAAATAAGAAACCCAAAAACTGGTACAAAGACAGGCAGGCAGACATGTCGGGCACTAAGCTCCAACATTGAACACACTGCAAAGAAGAGCAAAAGTAATTATAAAGCAAGAAATTAATGCAAGCACTCAGCTGAAGTGGAACGACAGTAACATACATACATACAAGAGCCAGGCCTGCACGAGGAGGTCTTTAACATGCACAAGCACAGTCAATGTTTAAATTTGTTCTTTTTAAGTTGCAAATTGCTTCCCATTCAACAGGCTATGCAGAAGAGAATAAATCTCATTTACTGCCTATTAGTGATTTGATTAAAGTGAATTCGGTTCATAGAAAGGAAGTCCATAACCCCTCAGAGCAGAATATCTCTGGGGAGGTATAAGGAATCCCAAACCAACTCCAAGGAAAGGAACCCAAGGTACGGTGGAAACAAAATGGCATGCTAAGGCATGCCTAACAATGTGTGAAACACAACCACAATCATTTAGGTTAAGCAAAAGCACAAGAGCAATGACACGAATAGGAACATAATTTTCCAAGGAAAGCCAAGATCATTTAGCTGAAATTGAGCAGAAGTTGAACTCTGCAGAGGCAGCAAATGTTTAACTGAAAATATCAGCGGAAGAATGAAGGGCAGGCTGGCCAAGACCTCATGAGACAGGGATACATGTTTATAAACTTGGAGGTATAACCTATTTCTCAGTATGTATTTCACATAACACATACATACATATACATATGTATACTATGTATATTATATATATATATATATATATATATATATATATATATATATATATATATATATATATATATATATATATATATATTACATACATTTGTATACTATGTACTGTATATTATATATACACATGCATATTATGTATACTAATTATATATATATTATATATATTTATATACATACTCACACACACATTTGGTCAGCAATCTATTGTGGTGGCCTTAATAACCCTCCAGAGGTTGACAGGCCCAAAACCAATCCAAAATCTCAAGTGACTTGGACTGCCATCTGGTAACAGTTGGGCACATCAAAGTTGGGGTATTTATCTCATGGAAATGACTATTTGCCTTGTTTACCTAGGGACATCTGATTTCCTTCTTAAGTATTGGCTTGTGGTTTGGTGCCTAGACTTTTTGGTGGGGTTTTCTCACTTTCTAGGTTGATCTGTGTTCCCTTTGCCTCGTAAAGTGAGTCAGGTTCTGGTGTTGATTCTTCAGAGGACTCAAGAAGCTTGGTGTGTTGGGTTATGGCTTGGTGGTTACCAGAGTTAATCTTAGGGAACTACCGAAGGGTTCTTCCAGAAGAACAACTTTACAACATGGTGCACCACCTTTATGCTTTCAAATTTCAAACACAGGTACTTTAAGTACAATACAATTAGTCATTCATTGTCCACTCCCATACTACTCTGATTATTAAGATCATGCTCCTTCCTAATTGTTATCATTCAATTCCACTTGTTATTGTAACATTTTCTCCATTCCATTCTTCATTATCATTTTCCTTTGTGTTTCAAATCTTGCACAATACTGTATTCTTTCCTTTCTTATAAATCTATCACTTCAAGCTTCTGTTCCTTTATTAATCTCACTCCAAAATCTAATAAACCTCTCATACTTTCTAAGGTCTAGCATTTGTGAGCCTCAGATCTGAGGTTATTTTTTTACATTTATCACACCAAAAATCTGGGAAGATGCATCTCTACCCCAACCTCCTCACCCCCCCCCCCCCCTATAATGAAAAAGAGATACAATATCTTAATTGTAAAAAATATTTATATACTATTATAAATCTTTATCAGCTTTAAAACCACACTGTGTAGCAGTCACTTCACAAGAACTTAAATACCTCATTGCATACTCGCCTATTTAGGCTTCGTGGCAGTTACTTTGTTACTTTTACCCAATGCAAGATAACCCTGCACACACTAACATAGCACTATAAAAAGCAGTGTAAATTGACACTATTATTCGGCTTCTTTAATGCTCTCACTAGAAACTGTTACTGGTGCTCATAACTTCCATGTTTTTATACAGTAACAATGAGAAAAATACTTTAAATTACTATGAGACACTCATTTCTTTTCCAAGTAAAATCTTTTTTGAATGTTTGTTTATGCAAACCAATTATGCGGTACAGAGTGATTAATAGGACTGACAAGAGAGATTGCTGCCAAATGTATACCTATTTATACATTTGGAACTAAAAAAATAAAAATAAAAAAATACTCGGAAGCCTTCAGGCAAAATAAAAAAAAAATATGCAGTAATGATAAAACTATTGATGTCAAACGGTCAACTACTTAAAACCTGGCAAATTATCAATGAGAACTTCATTACCTTCTTATTCCATATCACGTGGTATGGAGGTACCTGGCCTTCCGTAAGGTGTGGAGGTACCTGGCCTTCCGTAAGGTGTGGAGGTACCTGGCCTTCCGTAAGGTGTGGAGGTACCTGGCCTTCCGTAAGGTGTGGAGGTACCTGGCCTTCCGTAAGGTGTGGAGGTACCTGGCCTTCCGTAAGGTGTGGAGGTACCTGGCCTTCCGTAAGGTGTGGAGGTACCTGGCCTTCCGTAAGGTGTGGAGGTACCTGGCCTTCCGTAAGGTGTGGAGGTACCTGGCCTTCCGTAAGGTGTGGAGGTACCTGGCCTTCCGTAAGGTGTGGAGGTACCTGGCCTTCCGTAAGGTGTGGAGGTACCTGGCCTTCCATAAGGTGTGGAGGTACCTGGCCTTCCATAAGGTGTGGAGGTACCTGGCCTTCCATAAGGTGTGGAGGTACCTGGCCTTCCATAAGGTGTGGAGGTACCTGGCCTTCCATAAGGTGTGGAGGTACCTGGCCTTCCTTAAGGTGTGGAGGTACCTGGCCTTCCATAAGGTGTGGAGGTACCTGGCCTTCCATAAGGTGTGGAGGTACCTGGCCTTCCATAAGGTGTGGAGGTACCTGGCTTCTAAACAACCAAATGTTCCAGAAAAAGGGTACAATTTACATTATAAAGTTCTTTCCAAAATTTGGTTGAATAATAAAGTGAAAAGATAAGTGCTATACACATGGTGTTGTTTGTTAATTTTTTAAGATTTTGTACTCAAATTATTTACTAATTATTTTGTTATACTTTTGCCAGCCTTATATGGTCCTATTATACAAGTGTTAAATAATTACATTATAAATACGGTAAGTTAAAAGTCCTACATAGAAAATGATACTGGACGAGTGAGACTTTCAATATTAAGAGTCTCGATACATTATAGCTCATGGCAATCACTAATCTATGTTTAGCCTCCTCTCAATGTAATTTAAATAATATAATTCCCAATTATCTGTAAATATTTTCATAATACAAATGTTTCACCTAAACAAACTGATATTTGAAACACCCACCTTAAATAACCGATATTAAATTAAAAAAAAAAAAAAAAAAAAAAAAATGACCATACAGTACTTGCACACCTTCATGTCCATGCTCCAGTACATTGGCCCAATTAGGGTATGTAGTTTGCAAATCACTCCTTATGTCTATGTTTACTCTTGTATCACTTGGCATTCTTAGACTGCTTTATATTAAAATAGTTGTATGTTGCGTACAGTGTACACAGTATACAAACACCTACCTCTTCTTATATTGCATTAAGTGTATAATTAGCATAGTAAAGTATTATACAGTAGTGCATCTGTAACACTCACAAATATGCAACAAGTAAATAAGATAGAAATGGAAAAAGAAAAATCCATTTTATACAGTATTTCTGAAGAAAACTTTTGAAAATGGCCATATCTCAAATACTATGATACTTTAAAATATTGTATGGATGGCTATAAAAAAGCAAATTACACCAGTCTTCACCAATTTCTGGATTCAAAATGTATTGAATCTCCTAACAAGTCTGGGTTCTTCTATGTACTAGATTTCTCCCCCTTAAAGGTAGTGATAAATCAGCAACAAAGCATTTATCATGACCACCACTACCATTTCCCATTTTCACAAAGAAATCACATTGACGTGATGTATCAATGAGAAAATCAACAGGAGCTATGAGGATGATTTGAACCTATGTTGTGGGGTACTCCTGACCAATGCCTTAGTATCACAACATGGTAAAAGGCATTGCAATCTGGGATTCAACTGAATCCTCTAGGGACTGCACATTGCAACCAGATGTTTCACTGATGGTGTGCAGACCAACTAGGCTGGTTTTAGGCATATCAAAATTTAAAACTCACATGCATACATGGGGGCTTACATTTGCTTCCTCAGACCTCCAGTAACCATCCTCTCCCCCCCCCCCCCCAATTTTGGAGGGGGAGGGAGGGAGAGAAAAAAAAATTCCAGTTCTTTTATCTTCTGGGGCCTTAGTAGGAAGATGAGGACCATGTCTGGCACATCACCATCCAGTGTCTGAATGTGCTGGGCAGACAAGCTATAAGCCATTGAACTTTCAACAACAGCAAGCGAGTGATTACCATGAATATATTTACAGGCAAACTGTGTGCTATGTGCAGTTAAAAGATTTAGGCTTATAAATAAAAAATAAAAAAATAAATAAAAAATAAATAAAAAAATAAAAAATAATAATTATATATTCTTGTATGAATAATTAGTGCACGTATATTTATACACATATATATGTACATATGTATATTTTCAAAGTTATACATAATGAAAACCATCAACAACACATTAATACAACTTGTTAGAACAAAAAAATAAAAATAAAATGAGAAAGATTGAAAATAAATTGACAAAGTTACTCCTGTGCAGCACCTAGCCTCATATTTACCGAAGAAACAAAAAAAACTTTTCCAAGCCACTACAGCTAAATCACAAGAGATAAAGACTTTCCTTGGATTTTTGGTATTTATAGTTGCTAAATTAACAATGTCAAATAATTTTTTTTGTTTTCAGAACAATTTTTTTATATGCGCACCTCAAGAGGGGCTCATGTAAGAGGTGCGCAGTGCAAAGGTTAATCAGGGCTTCACAATGCCCCCATGCACCCTGACTTGTAGTCTAGTAATTCTATCTCCTACACCTCTCTTCAAATCCACAAAAAAAAATCACATTAACATGATGTATCAATGAGAAAATCAGTAGGAGCCATGAGGCTTCAGTGGAAGCCTGAGGAACTCTTAGAGGATTCAGTTGAATTTCAGGTTGTAATGCCTTTACCATGCCATGGAGTAGTGGTTTAAGGCACTGCTTGCAAGTACCCAAAGCATAAGTTTGAATCCTCCTCATGGCTCCTATTGATTTTTTCATTGATACATTATTTTGATGTGATTTCTTTGTGTATTTGAAGAGAAGCATAGGAGATAGAATTCCTGGACTACATGCCAGAGTGCATGGGGTGTAGTGTGTGAAACCCTGGTTAGGCTTCAGTGGAAGCCTAGAAGACAATTAAATCCCTGGATGCAATGCCTTTACCATATTGTAGTGTAGTGGTGTAAGGTGTTGCTCGAACCCAGAGCATATGTTTGAATCTTCATGGCTCCTACCATTTTTCTCCTTTACCATTTTCATATGGAAGGAAAGCAGCTTGTCTTCAGTGGATAGAAAAGATGAAGTAATTATCAGGAGAAAGCACTAAGCCATTACGACTATACTGTATAGCACTTGGAAAGATACGAGGATAGGGATTTGGGAAGGACATAATAAAGGAATGGTACCCACCCACTTGGAGGGTTGGGGATTGGACACCGATCTGCAAGAAGCAAGACCGTTGCTGTACCATCCAATCGAAGTAGCAGAGCAGTAGATACAAAAAAATAATTGATACCGTCCAATCTCCTTCCACTTACTTTCAGCCAATATAGGTTGGTTTAAATAATAAATTAATGCTCCTGCAACATACCAAGGTGACTGCAAGATGAATTTAGCAGCATTATATATATATATATATATAGTATATATGGTATATAAGAAATTTTTTATTTTATGTCTGTACCTCAATAAACGGCCTTTAAACACCCAGGAAAAAAGTGTGTCCTTATTTAAATCATGGTTCATTGATTTTGCATTAAATTGCCATGTTGTTACAGAAATAAATAAATAAAATTTAAAAGAAACAAAAGTTTTCAATTTTCCTTTAATCCTCTTTTGGTTAATACCAATTCTTTCTCCTCAAACTTACAAATGTCAACTTGAAATATTTTTTTTTTTTAAATTTTGATTCAACTATTTTTTGTGTATCATATTGTTACTTTAATATCTCCCAACATCATCTATTACCATTCAATACAATAATGACTGTAGTCTCAAATTTATCCATTTATAAACATCCACACCAGTCAAGTCACTTTCATCTACAATTCTACAAACTTTCATTTCATATCCAAATACTGTATATACTTGGTATATTAAGTTTGTGGAGTAAAATCAATGTGTGTGGATAGTAGTAGTAGTAGTATGTGCGCGCGCGCGTGTGTGTGTGTGTGTGTTCGCTGGTAAACGAACATGCATGGGTACATGTATACACAGTACAATGAACTACAATTCTAACATAACATGGTACAATTGGAAACTTGATCAAAAGATGATTTCATATCTAGTTAGTATCTGATAAAAAAGGATTAGGTGTAAAGATCGAGAAAAATCGATCTGTAGAAAAAACCTACACTTTCCATGTAATTTTGGTATTAAGGTGTTATCTTTGATGCCATATTCAAATCAATGGCTTTTATCATGTGTTACACTCACAGCACAGAACAATTTGATAATCTTCCATTTTCTAAATCATCATAATACTTAGCACTGAATATTGCCGTCTTTCCCCCCACCCCCTTCTGTCTCAATGATTTCCTATTTACTTCAGCTTCCAAGTTAAATAATGGCTGTCTGTTGAGATGAACATGCCTTTCAAAGTATCCCATCTCTCAATGTAAATAACTTTTGACCATTTCACCTATGTGACAGTGAACAATGCCAGCAGATGAAAAGCATCAACAAAACTTACCACAAGCTATTTAAAGGGAAAGTCTCCTAACAGGAGTCAGAGGTTGTATGTTCCTGTACCCATCTGTGTATGATAACAACAATAATAATAATAATAATAATAATAATAATAATAATAATAATAATAATAATAATAAATAATAATAATAAATAATTATTAAAAAGTTCCAAATGGTTCTTCAGGTGTGTGTGTGTAATTTGCATAAATGGGGAAGATTCTACACAGTCCCTAACCGACTAACTTATGCGCCACAGAAAAAAGCAACGATGAAAGTAAGTAATTATAAAAAAAGAAGGCACCAAACCGGGAAGGTTATGTAAGCAACGATGAAGAAGGAGCAGATAAAATGATCAAAAAGAAAGCACTAAGCCTGGTGAAAAAGAATATGTTTATGGCAGGGCCATAGCAAAAGAAACAAGTCTCAGTATTGTCATCCATTATTTTTTGTTTTTTTGAAAACTCATCCTTACAGAAGGTACTGTACATTGTTAGGAAAATAAATGTTTTAAGTGTAATTCAGGCCAAGTGAGATAAATACAGTCTAGTGTGAAAATGTTGGCTATAAAAATAACTACGAAATGTTTAAAAATGCATTAATTCTCTTTAGATACTACATACATTTCAATAATGTAACAGCAGCTTATGACGGTTCTGTCCTTGCCTTTCCAAATATCTTTCCAAATAAGACTAGGATATTCCTCAAGAGAGAATCTGGCTTTCTATCTTTTTTTTTTAAGATATAAATTAAACCAGATAAAAAATTCTATGCAAAACTGTCAGCCCAGTATCACATCTGGCAGTGTGCAACAAATACATATTACAGCAAAACAAATATGAAACAAACTTGAGGGATTACTCAAAACCTGCAGAATATCTTGGAGAAAAAATGCAGACTCCTTTAAGAATTTTGATTAACCAATAGCTTAATAGCGAATAACTGAATATTTTACCACACAATATGTACGAATATACATTGTGTATTCACACACATTATAGCACAAATACAGCAAACAAAATTCTTAAATTTCCATTTCAACTTCAAATAAATTGCAGCTCATGAACAAAACCAATACTATATATAATATTTGTAAAAAAAAAGATCTCATTAATAATACTAATACAGTAATTATTAATATTTATGAAAAATTCTACCAAATTTTAAACTAGGCCCGTCTGTATTATACCCCAAATGCCGTTACTTAGTGTGTAAAAAGTAAACATAGCATAAGATCATCAATCTCAAAGAAACTTTTTCCTTTACTCTATGCACTACTTCTCAGTTTTAGTTACAGTACATGCCATTGACCACCATTAGCATATGCGGAAAATCCAAAGCCGCAACAGATATTCCATTCAACCTAATGCAGCTTCAAACCAACTTGAGAGAATTTCAGCAAGAGCAAGACAAATTCTCGATAACACAAACTTGAAAAGAAAACAGAAAATACATTTGAAGAGGAAAATTGTCTTTTTCAAAGAAAATATTATTTGAATAAAATATTGTCAACAGTTTGAAAGCATTGAATGGCAATGTATGACTTTCAAAACAAAATGAACACTTAACTGGGGAGAAAGATTCTCCACGCGATGCTCCAGCGATAACGAGGAAATGGAGGATATGATACAAATTATCAACATAAATAAGAATTACAGAAAATCCAAGTACAGTAATACAACAGTAAAAAGAAACCAATGCTTAAACAAGCAGACTGCTTTTCCCTTTTGTACTTTTTTGAAACACACTATCCATCTATAAATGATTTGGATATAATGGTTGTCACTGCACTGGTGATATCTCTATAGGGGGTCGAGGGCAAGGTTTCAACGACAAGAGGCCTACATCTTGATGCCTTATTGAGGACGTTTTGAATCTAAATATTACAGAAACGTTGTTACTCTTAATGATGCATCTTCTAATATTTTTTATTTAAAAGTGCTTGTAGTAAATCTTTATAATGCTAATGAAAAAAAAAGGAAAAATTAAGAAAACATGATGAACTGTACTTCAATTACTTTTGAAATTGAAATAAAGTTCGGTTAAATTTTCTCCCTATGTGAAGAATTTCATTAAGGTTTATAAAACTATCAATGTCAGATATATCTGCAAAATATGTGAACATAAAATGTACATACAAGAACATCCATCCACCTTTAAAAGGATTGGCTATCATTAACACGAAAGCACTGAATTAAAAAATAAATAAATAAATAAATAAAAACAGAACTAACCAAATGTTAAATTAAGTGTAATGATAATCTAAAAGGAAAATGTGCAGATTTATAAAAGGAATAAATGTCCTAACAGTCACTTGGGTAAGATTAGTGAAGGAATCTATGAGAGACAGTAAGAGAAGTGTAATATTTTAAGCCAACAAACATGCCCATATATTTCATTCAAATAAAATAGTGTGAACAAAGGCTTCAGTTTAAATACGAGCATTATTGCTCAAATTCAAAATGAATTTGAATCTCAAATCAAATGACCAAATCATTCACTGTACAACATAAAAAAAAAGTTACTTACTTGCAAATAAGGAAAAATGCTGGCATATATGCAAACACTATCGACAACAAACGTGTACACAATGTTTCACTTTAAATTCCTGTGTCAGTCATTGTCTCACAACCAAATAACTGGTCCAACTGACCAACTTCAAATTAAAAAAAAAAAAATAAAAGTATTTCCTAGCAGTGAACAGATTATCCACACCCCCAATAAAATCATTTCAAGACACATACATACTGCATATCTTCGGAGACAATAGAGGCATCTCGGTAAAACAAATGCAACTGAATCCTCATAACGTTAAGGATATATATACTCTAGTAATACTCAATGTGCCAGATGAAAAAGAGGTCAATATAGAATTAAAAAAATTACCAGAGACATCATTAGTAAAGATCGGAATGAAAAATCTCAACAACCAAATTGGCCCCATGTACTGTACATCACTTACTCTGCAGTTATACTTCCACTCTTCCATATACATATACTGTACTGTATATTTATATATATATACTATATATAAATATATTATATAATATATATATATTATTTATTTTTGGATGAATAATGCATTTTCCTTCATAAAAATTAGGGTGGGAGCATAGATATGAAAATAAAATCACAGTATACATGATGTCAGCAGTGGACAAGACCCAAGTCTCGAAAACGAGCAATAGATTGATCTTGCTGAATGTCTCAAAAAAATAATAATCGGGGAAGGGAAAAGAAGTTACCCTTGTCATAGTTTTAAGCTTTTTATCACTAACCAAAACTTTCTTTATTAGCAATGTGTAATAAACAAGAAAGATTTTTGTGAATATATTTCCATGTGTTGGGCTGCATTTTCCTTGTCACTTTTAATTACAGTTATAAAAATGCCTAAATCTGATAAATGTAAAGCTCTAATCTACTGAATAAAGACATGTTATATTGATTTTGGTAAAGCTTCACCCACTTACATGATATTAAGTTTGATGCCCATAAAAGCTCTTTTGGTAATATACTTACATATTTTTATAACTGGCATTTAAGACCTCCCTGATGAATACAGGATTTGATGTGTTGGAAATATTGCACAAAATACCAGACGTGATGAACAAGCACTGCCTTGGTTAACAGTGTTTTGTACTGTCTGTACAGTGGCTCCTTAATCTTTTAATTAACTATTCCATAAATTTTGTTCCTGCAGAAGTACAGGAGTCACTGGGCTAGCTGGAGTTTTGAGATCAATTATATATTTTTATTTTTCCTGTTTACACACAACATCCAATGTAGACACATTACACTAGAATGACAAATACTGAAATTGCGAGTTCCTTTTCTTTTTATTGTTAGATGCCTGGTATCTATAAATGAAGTGAGAAAATAACCAGAAGTAGAAGGCTGTACTGGAACGAGTATTACCCATTACGTTGGGCAATATATCACTAACAGTTTTTTTTCTGTAGCCCAAAATTGGCCTTACATATTTGATGAAGTACCCTCACAAATGATCACAAGACTAATAACTTTAGACTTATTCCATTGTTATAATTTAACTAAAGCTTTAAGTTGAAGTGAAGGTAGAGGGTACTAGAACTGTTACATGAACTGGTACACTTAACCCTTGTCTGGCTATGCACCAATGTGATCTAGTCTGCCTATCACACCACAGTAGTATGGACGGGACAGGGGGCAGAGGTGTCATATTTGCGCTCGACACTTGCAAGTCCAGTGCATCTAGTGTACAAGTGGGTGCTTGACAACAAACATTATACACTGGCACTCGTATATAGTTTCTTTGTAGCACTCGAGTTTCCATCACTCAAGTCTTGGTCAAAGCTGCAGAGGCATCTCATAGACTTTGAACTTTTCAGCTCTTGTCCCTTGATACCAAACAATCTGAAGATTTCAGTGAAACACAAATCAAGCTAACTGTACTATGTCCCCATTGCATTAGCTGAAAGAAAAGAAAAACAATTAATTCCTTATACTGTACAAAATCATTTCTTTTGCAACAAGTACAGCAAGTGCATAACACACATTTAAAACATATACACACACCAGAATGTTGTACTGTACATATAATATGAAATAAGTACCACTAGCTCACACCAAATAACAACATTGCACAAGACCAGAAGGCAATAGCAGGATGTGCAAAATGGCCTCTATGAAAAGCAGAGGTGCAACAGGCACTTTGAGAGAGAACTCACACACAAAGGCCCAAGACTATCAAACTCACTCACTCTACACATAAGGAGAATTATTGGCTGACCTCTCGGTGTTCAAAAGAGAACTTTATAAACGCCTTCAAAGGATACTTGATAAACCAAGCTGTGACTCATATGCCAGGCTGTGAGCAGCCATTTTGAACAGTCTGGTTGACCAGCCTACCAACCAGGAGGTCTGGTCAGAGAGTAGGTCATGGGACACTGATCCTCAGAATCATCACAAGGTAACCAAAAGATAACCGATAGATGAAAAATGTACATTGCAGTGTTATTAATATTTATACACTAATTTTTAAGATCAATACGTAATGAGTGGGGCTGAAACATTTGTCCTCTAAAGCCTAAGTATTAGATAATTTTGTCAATGTTTTGGCATGGACCAAATCATAATTCTTTTTAGTTTCCAATAGGTGTTCATCATACACATTAATCGATATATTTGCTTGTCCAATAAAAAAAAATGGGTAAAAAATTTTCATATATAAAAGCCATTCAGAAGGTAAGGCTTTAAATATTTTCCCAAGAAAAAGATTATTTACAAATTATGAAACTTGCATGAAACTGATACATACTGTAATTGATAAAAGCAAGTAATTATCTACAGAAGGCAACCAAGAAAGGAAGACTGTAGCCCAATCATTGTCATTGGATATTCAAGAGGCGCAAAATATCACCTAGAATGCAATACGAGAACAAAAGGCGAGTGATATCCAAGGACTCTATTAAGGAACAAGTGACCCTGAGGGACATTAGGAAAGAAAAAAACTTACGATTGTCCTGAAAATCTAGACGGTCTGCGAGATGTATGACTAAGTGGGATGATGCAGTTCAAATAATAAAGATTTGGGAAGTATTCCGTTAAGTGCCTATAAGTTAAGCATGTGGGGCCAATACATATACCCTAGCCAGAGCCATTTCTCACCATCTATTATGGTGGTGGAGGAAGGCCAGGGTTAAAGGTTACCAAATCAAACCAATGACCCTGCCAGTAGTCACAGATTGAGGAATGAATGACTGGGTAGATCTTTGAATAAAGAATATCTTCTTGGGAAGTAGAACAAGTGTGGAAGGCTCCCTTAACCCTTGGGCGCTAAGGACCATTTTGCCTTCAACCCCCTCAGGCACAAAAAAAAAAAATCGTCTTATAAAAGTGTTCATTTGTGTTCCCTGATCACGGGAAAAATAACAAAAATCGTAGGTGGCATATTTTGGGTGCAACAAGGCGGGGAAGTCTGGTAAAAAAAAAAAAAAAAAAAAAAAAGAGAAGAAGAAGAAGAAGAAGAAGAAGAAGAAGAAGAAGAAGAAGAAGAAGAAGAAGAAGAAGAAGAAGAAGAAGAAGAAGAAGAAGAAGAAGAAGAAGAAGAAGAAGAAGAAGAAGAAGACGACGATGACGAAGAAGAAGACGACGACGAAGACGACGACGACAAAGATGACGACGAAGAAGACGACGACGACGAAGAAGACGACGACGACGACGAAGAAGACGACGACGACGACGACGACGACGACGACGAAGACGACGACGAAGACGACGACGAAGAAGACGACGACGACGACAAAGAAGACGACGACGACGACGAAGACGAAGAAGACGACGACGAAGAAGACGATGACGACGACGACGAAGAAGACGACGAAGACGACGACGAAGACGACGACGATGAAGAAGACGACAACGACGAAGACGACGACGAAGACGACGACGACGACGACAAAGACAACGACGACGACGAAGAAGACAACGACGACGACGAAGAAGAAGAACGACGACGACGACGACGACGAAGAAGAAGGAGGAGGAGGAGGAGGAGGAGGAGGAGGAGGAGAAGGAGGAGGAGGAGGAGGAGGAGAAGGAGGAGGAGGAGGAGGAGGAGGAGGAGGAGGAGGCCTTGACAGAGCGTTCGCCAGACAAGATCTGCTCCACCCGAGCTGTCAGGTGGGGTTGCCACAAAGATATTATTACCTAATTATTTCAATGTCCCTGATTGATTTTTTCTTTGTTTTTTTGCAGTAGTGTAATATTATTCAATAGTGTGTATTGTTATATGTTTATATAATAAAATGTGTGAACCATCACTGAACTCAAAATTATTGTGTTCATTACACAATAATGAATCATTAGTGATTCAATTATTATGTTCATAAAACAATAAACAAATAGTTTTGCTGTTATTACACTATATACACACACACGTTATATATACGTATCGACATGTTTTGTTCACCATAACGAAAAGAAGTTGACATCTAAGTGTGAAAAACACACACACCCAAGACAAAAAAAAAAAAAAAAAAAAAAAAAAATTGGAGGAAAGTGTGAAGTTCCCCAATCCAACAACAGTAAGCTCAGGACCAACAAAAACAAAGCTTTGAAAAACAATCTTTGACTGAAGGGGCAAGAGAAAACCAAGGAGAGGAGAGAAAATTTAATTAAAACCTGATCCAAGGACCGAGATGGCTGAGGATGAGCGCGAGCAAGCTGAAGGTGAAAAAATTCCAGATACAACTTGTGAAACAGGGCTGATGAAACGTCAACACCAAATGCCAACAGCAGCAGATCCATAAAGCCAAACGATATGAGGCAACTGTATACGGCAAGAGAAACCTATCCATAAACAACCAGGACAAAAAGATATGATTACAGGCATAGAAACCAAGAGCAAGCAACAAAGAGAAAGAAAAATTAAAGGAGTGCCAAGAAATACATATTGTCGTGTCAACAAAATAGCTGTTGTGAGCCCACTGAGTCATTAACTAGGATGGAGTGAAGCATTTATGCAAGCAGAGCAGTGCCAGGAAAGCCAGCAATCAGGGCCGTCTTAACAGCATTATGGGCCCCTGGGCAAACCAGTGTGCCGGGGCCCCTACGTCAACCACTTACAGGAATAAAAAAATAAATGGTCGACAATATTAACCATATTATTTCTTCAACAAAACTTGTGTTAAACATTAAAAAACATGCTGTAGAGCAGAAACTAATCAATATGATATACATCTGAACAATACACAAATACACAAGGCTTCAAAAACACAATAATACTTGGTAATATGCACAGAAATCACAATAGCGTGACATATCAAATTAACAAATCCACAAGGGCCGTGATGAGGGTTTGAACCTATGCCCGAGATGATCCCAGACACAGAAATCACAAAAGCCTTGTGGATTTGTTCATTTGATATAACACACTACTGTGATTTCTGTGTGTTTTGAAGTAAGAGCGTAGAGGTAGAACACCTGGTTGACAGAGCCCGGGTGCATGGGAAAATTGTGTGAAACCTCAGTTTGCGCATGGAGAAGCTGTGGGATCCTCATGAGGGCAGTTGCACTACAGGTTGCAATTCTTTTAACTATGTCATGGCACAGTTGACTAAGGTGCATCTGGGATCATCCTGGGCATAGGTTAGAACCCTCATCACGGCCCTTGTGGATTTGTTCATTTAATACTCATTACGCTACACATTATATGGCACAGTATGAAATTACTACGAACTTCATATTATAACAAGCATTTGCATTTCTTTTCAGATAATTGCTTTATTATTGGCTTGAAGTCAATGGTCTTCAGGATGTCGTTTTCCATGCACGAGGAAAGCCAGTTCAAACGATGCTGCCCCATTGTGCTATGAAGCAGATTTTTGTTACAAGTTTCAGTCTTGAAAAAGAACGTTCTCCTGCACAGTTAGTCACCCTCATGCACATGAACACTAAGTGCAATTTCAACATTCGGGAATACAGAATAATTATTCTGTATAATGTAGGGAGAGAGTCGCAATTTTCATCAAGAGCCATGTAGAGCTTGAGATCTATCTTGAGGTTATCTTGAGATGATTTTTGGGCTTTTAGTGTCCCCGCGGCCCGGTCCTCGACTAGGCCTCCACCCCCAGGAAGCAGCCCGTGACAGCTGACTAATATCCAGGTACCTATTTTACTGCTAGGTAACAGGGGGATAGGGTGAAAGAAACTCTGCTCATTGTTTCTCGCCGGCGTCTGGGATCGAACCCAGGACCACAGCATCACAAGTCCCGCGTGCTGTCCGCTCAGCCGACCGGCACCCGTTTGATGCTCACATTTATTTCAAAGGCCATCATAATTCAGGTCTTTGTGATACATATTAGCCAGATGTTCACACTTTTCCTTAGTGCATCAGAAGCAATGGTTTTCAACATTATCATTAGGGGCCAAGTGGTGGCACTGACCCCATGGTGCTTCTGTTATTTGTGAATGGTTTAAAGTGCCGTAACCCTTGGACAGCAGCTATAGAGAAATGGTCATACCTGCCAATGAGCAAAAAATAACAAAATTCCCCCAAAAAAATTTTCATTATAGAATTATTAAATTTTATGCAAAATGTAAGAAAAACCTGAAAATAGGTCAATATTTATAGTTTCACAGAATGAAGGTGCTCTTGAAGGTTGAGTGGTGGCTATGTCTGGCATCTGTTAACACCTGGTGATTAACTTTGCTAATATTTCTTGTGTTATCCTCAGATGTTTCCCTGATTGTTTATCAATTGTTTCTCTTAATTTACAAGAGGATGTGTGGTGAAAACTTGATAAATCACACAAGACATGATAATGTTTCAACTGATGATTGGTTTACCTGGTACAGTATACTCCATTACAGTTAGTATAGAGTAGTGAAAAGGATATGAACATAATATTCAATTGTGTTGGCCTCTGGGAGATGACATAGTCTAATTGGCACCACATGGGCAAGAGAATAGATTGAAACAAAGGCCTAGGCCACCAATGTGGCACCTACAGATGATAATCGTGCCACATTGATGAATGAAAACCGATTCAACAGATGAATGAAAACCGCATTTACCTAGTAACGTAACCATGAAATGACAGCAGGATTTTTTTTAAGGGTCAAGGTAAACTCCATTACATCCACGTAGACCTATTACAGTACTATATATCCTTATTCAACCCATCTTTCTGTTTTGGTAGTACTTATAGTAACGATGAGGACAATCGTACATACCCTGCAAACACAAAACGTAACTGGCTCTATTTTCTGCTTGTTACAGCTTGTAATAAAGGTATTACGTCTTGGTATGATGTTTTTATGATGTATTAGAACTTGCCATATTGATTGTTACAACTTGTTAGGTGTTAAAACTTGTTCGAACATTGTAGCACTGTCATAGTTTTGTCGCGTGTTTAGCAGATATATTGAGGTAAAAGGCAATTAGAAAGTAGAAACTGGTACTGTTGAATTTGGACAAATCGGAATAGATTTTGTATTTATGTTGCAAGGACAACCTAACCTCTATAGGCCTAATACATGCTATCTGAGGCCTAATATAGTACATATATGTGCCTAGGCCTAGGAATACTTAAGTTTTTCAATTTCAGTTTTTTGACTCAATAAAGTGAATAGTACCAAATTCTACTATCTAATTGCGTTTTATTCCAATATATGTGCAATGGACCACATTGTTACAAAAAGTACCATCTAAACAGGAGGTTGGGTTGCCTTATTTGCATCATACATGTAATACCCCAGACAACACTTGTATAAATCGCCATATGACAATAACCACATTCCCCTATGTAATGCAACCATGAAATAATAGCAGCATTTCTTCAAGGGCCAAGAAAAATGCCATTACATCCACATAGACCTATTACAGTACTGTATATCCTTATTTGCATCACACATGTAAAACCTAGACAATAATTGTTTAAATCATCATATGATGATAACCACATTACCCTGTGAATCAACATATGACAATTACTGCTTTCTAAGGGTTAATATTCAAAGTTCCGAAATATTCTGTGTGGTTGTCACTCTACACCTCAGACCTCTGGCAATCGTTTGCCACACTGGGAAAAAGTCCAGAAAGCCTTAGCTATCTTCCAGACCATTATTAAAAAACACCTTACACTAATTCAGGTGAATCACCATCTATTTACTGATGCCTATGTTTAGAAACACTGACTATACAAAATTTCATTAACTTTTATGGGCCAGGAAAACATTTGTAATAAGAAATCTATTAAGAATAGTTTACATTAAAATAAATTTTTAGAACATGACATCAACATTTCTTCACCTCACTACAGCCAAAATTAAATAATTAGAAGGTTTTCTAACATCACAAGTGTTTTATGATACAAAAATGAGAATTTTTTTTTATGAGCACATAGAAACAAACCTAAAAACCATGTGCAGTCAGTGTTAAGAAATGTTGAAACCCCAGGATATACTGTACAGGAAAATCTTGTCTTCATTAGTAAAATCCACAGACGTTCATAAATGTGACTAGCCTTGGGCTGCCATGTTACACAACTTTGAGAAAGTAATCACCTTGCGTCTACAGTGGGCGATGAGCCTCGGCCACCAGGAGGCCCAGATGATTCTGGCGGGGAGCAATTAAGAAAATCCCAGATGAGGATAGTGTCATCGTGAGAAGAGGACACTATCTGGAACTCGTCAAACTGCAATCGAAACACTCTACCAGAATGCTCCTAGAAAAGGGGTAAAGAAATAATAAATGCAGTAATGTACAGTATAAAAAATGCCAGTTAACCTTCTACTTAAAACCTAATTATACTATACAGTATGTAGAAAATTTAATTAGTTATGTTTAAATACACAGTTAAAGATAAACAAGTATAAAACATATATACAAGTACAGCACACATGCATGTGCACATTTTGCTCTCTCTCTCTCTCACGCCTTCCTCAGGTCCCCTTTTATTTTCTAATCTTTGTTATTCCCAAATCCTCCTTTTCTCTTCCCAAAGTCCCACTATTTTTTCAGTCTACCTTAATAGCTAGTCTTTAATTTATATTCCTCCTTTTCCTATTCTTGCTCTAACTCTCACCATTCTCTCATTCAGTAATCACTTACTCATCATTTATTCCCCAAAATAAAATATTAGCTTCAATAATAAGAAACTCAACTTTTAATATTTTAATAAAGACTACAGGAGTGGTACTCAATAACAGTGATAAGCACTTGTATGCACAATGAGAAAATATGAGCCCTGTGCAAAATAGAAATGAAAAACAAGATATAAATTGTTTTATAAGTGAGTAAAACACGTAAAATTTACATATATTATATATATATATGTATATATATAATATTTATTTATATATATTTATATATAATACATAGAATTCATGAAAGCTGCATATAAAAATAAAGAAATTAGCTATTTAAAGCAATGACTAAAGCCTAGCTCAAAATACCACAACCCAAAGCTTTTGTTTTTAAAACTTGAAAGAGGCAAGGAAGCTAAACCGAATAAAGAAGAAATATATCGACCTTAAGGCTGTTGTGACACCCTGTTGCCTTGATGAGAAACATTTCACATCAAGCTCAGATACACCCACTTACCCCCTGCAAGTAAATGTACAAGACTTGTAGGGAATTGTAGCCTTTTTACACTGTGCTGCAGTATGTCACCATTAGCCTGACATTGTCCTCCAAGGTAGCAAATCATACATCCCTTTAACTTGAAGTGTCTCTTCTAAAAATTGTAGTAATTGAACATATGAAAGGAGCATACAGGGTCAAATTAATAATGACAGACTACACATACTTAATTTTGTGGGCTGCCAAAGGAAACCTTTTACTATATTTACTTTCCATTCAAGCTTTATGGCCATGAGTGACAACGCCACACAAAGAGACTATTTTCCATTATTACTACACAGCCCACAGAATTAACTGTTAACTGTAAACAAGTTTTAAAGTTTTCACATATCTATACAGAATAATACGGAAAGTAGAAAATAATCACAAAGCACTATAATGCGTTACTAACACTTACCACTAGAGTTCGAAGACAGAGGGTGCCGGCAGGAGCACGGGGATCTAATGCAGCTTGAAGATCCCACACCTTTATTTTCCTGTTGGTCATGGTAACACTGGTCAATAATGTTATTTATAAGCAAATTACAGTTAACCAGATCAATTATTATATGTAATAATTCCCATTCTTTTTTAAATTGGCAAAAATAATTTCAATGCCCATGAACTTTATGGAAAAAATTGGGTGATTAAATAAATTGTGCCAATATTGTACTTTCAAAATACCATTGACTTTTTTTAACATGTTATGGTAATTTCCATGAATTACAGTACAGGGTATATGATGACGTGGGAAAAATTAGGAGTGAGGCACTAAGAAATGTATAGGACAGAGTAACTCAGGGAGACATTCTATTCATATGCAGCATTCTTCCTAGAAAGGGGAAGTTGGAAAGACAATCTAGAATTATTGGTGCCAATTGCCAACTTAAGAAGTACTACAAGGCTAATGCAGTATCATTTATTAGCAACTGGGAACACTATCAATACAATTAAATATATACAAGAGATGGAGTACATTAAAGTAAGAGCAGGATTGTAGCTTTTTGCATCCTCATTACAAGCTGCAGCTGGTGAGGATCATCAGATTTCAACTGGAAATTGAAGGTCTAAGAATGTACTTGGGGAAAAGTCATAAATATAATCATAATGTTAAAGAAGTAGATGAAAAACTATTGTGAAACAAATTATAGATTTTTTTCAGAAGCCTTCAAGAGCTTCTAGGGATGAAATCCATAGCAGAACGGGTGTCAGGGATAAAAACATGCTTAAGGAAACAACATAAATATAGCCGTAGGTGTATTAGAAATAAAATTTATGAACCGAGTGCATTTGTGGACACAGATTCAATTAACATAATTGCAATAACAAACATTATGTAACAACATGAATCTATTAGCAGAATAACAAATTAAAGGATACATATTATTAAACTCTAATTAACAGATTAGACAAGGAGAATACTACTTGTATCTGGATATAATATTTTCTGTAGAATAATATATTTCTGTGCAAAAAGTAAGGAAAAGTATATACTGTGTAAGTAAATAAAAAAATATCAAAGTGCATAGTAAGAGGAAGCTGGATGGTGGAATCATGAGTCCGTTGACATCAGATGACTAATAAGAGGTAATAGGGGAGGACCCACTGTCAATTTGGATGGTTTTTAGGTTCAATGCTTCACATAAGTTTACACCGTGTATTTAAAATCTACTTTTTATACATGTTTGTGACACACTTGCAGTTCTTCATGCCAAATATCTAGTCCCTGTGAGAACAGTGACTTGTAATTATCTAAGTGTAATTACTTAAGTGTAGTTACAGGATGAGAGCTACACTTGTGGTGTCCAGTCTTCCCAGCACTCTTTATCATACAAAAATTTGAAACTACCGACAGTTTTGGCCTCCACCACCACCTCACCCAACTTGTTCCAACTGTTTACCACTCTGTTTGCAAAAGTGAACTTTCTTATATTTCTTCAGCAACATTGTTTAGTTTGTTTAAATCCATGACCTCTTGTTCTCAGAGTTCCAGGCCTCGGAAATTCTTCCCAATCATTTTTATTGATTCCCGTTACTATTTTGTACGTAGTAATTATATCGCTTTTTTTTCCTTCTATCTTCTAGTTTTGGCATATTTAATGTCTAACCTATCCTCGTAGCTCTTGTCCTTCAGTTCCGAGAGCTATTTAGTTGCATGTCTTTGCACCTTTTCAAGTTTATTGATGTGTTTCTTGAGATATGGGCACCATACAACTGCTGCATATTCCAGCTTTGGTCTAACAAAGGTTGTGAACAATTTCTTTAGTATTTCACCATCCATGTATTTAGAAGCAATTCTGAAATTGGAAAGTGACACAAAGGCTCCTTGCACATGTTCTTTATGTGGTCTTAAGGTGATAGTTTTCTATCTATAACAACCTCTACATCTTTTTCTTCAACAGAATTCTTTAAAGATTTCTCACATAATTTGTAAGTTGTGTGGGGTCTATTCCACAGTCATTCCATAACACGGCATTTATTCACATTAAATTCCATTTGCCAAGTGGTACTCCACACACTTATTTTGTCCAGGTCTTCTTCAAGTGCAAACAATCGTCTAAGTTTCTCATCTTCCCCAGTATCTTAGCATCATCAACAAACACGTTCATGTAATTCTGTATTTCATCTGGTAAATCGTTTATGTAGACAATAAACATTACTGGCGCAAGCACTGAACCCTGTGGTACTTCACTCGTGACATTTCTCTAGTCTGGTACATTGCCTCTGATTACTGCCCTCATTTTTCTGGCAGTTAAAAAAAAAATCATCCATGTTAGTAACCTACCTGTTGCTCCTTCAATATGTTCCAGTTTCCAGAATAACCTCATATGTGGAGCTTTGTAAAAATCCATTTTTAGGTCCAGACTGATGCAGTCAACCCAACCATCTCTTTCCTGTAAAATCTCAGTGGCTCTATCATAGAAACTGAGTAAATTCGTTACATAGGATCTTTCAGATAAAAAACTATACTGTCTTATGTAATTTTTCACCAGGTGTTCTACCCATTTAATTTTAATTATTTTTCCAATATTTTGACTTTTTTTTTTAATTATTTTTCCAATATTTTGACTATTACATTTGTCAATGATACAGGTCTATAATGTGAGAAGGTCTTCCCTGCTGCCACTTTTATAGATTGGAACTATGTTAGCCTTTTTTCACACATCTGCTAGGACTCCAGTACACAAGGATGCCTGAAAAATCAGTTGAAGTAGAGTGTTAAGCTCATGTGCACATTCTCTCAGAACCCATGGCAAAACTCCATCTGGGCATATTGCTTCGTTCTTACTTAGCTCTTTTAGCATTTTTTCCATCTCATCTCTTAGACACTTCTATGTGCTCTATGTTATTCTTTGGAATTTTTATTGTGTCCGGTTCCCTGAAGATTTCATTTTGCAGAAACACACTTTGGAACTGTTCGTTTAATGTTCCACACATTTCCTTTTCATTTTCCATAAATCTGTTTCCCATTTTCAACCTCTGAATATTATTCTTTACCTGCAATTTGCTTTTGATGAATTTATAGAACAGGCCTGGTTCTGTTTTACATTTTGTCCGCTATCCCTTTCTCAAAATTTCTTTCTGCCTCTATCCTCACTGCTGTGTAATTGTTTCTCACTTCTTTGTATCGCTGGTATGTTTGGTGGTTTGGCCTCTTCCTATATTGATTCCATTTTTGTGTCTTTTGGTCTTTGGCCCTCTCGCAATTTCTGCCGAACCAATCCTATTTCCTAGTTCTACATCTCTGCTTTGGTATAAATTTCTATGTGTTTTTATATCATATATTTTACAAAACTTGACGTACGTGTTTTAAAGTACGTATACCTTTACTTTCTTGCCTAATAGCAAGTCTTTCCAGTCAAATTCCTTAAAGAAAATAAGTTCTCCATAATGTTCTCTCATGAAATCAGGTTTTTCAACTGCTTTAACTTCCCCTGTTCTTCAAGATTGTTACACATTGCATACTTTATTCCCAACAGGATATGGTCACTCTTACCCAAGAGAGGAAGGTACAGAATGTCAAATCTCTTCCTCTTTCCTTGTGAATATCAAATCCAGCATGGAGGGAATATCCCCTTCCCTCATCTGCATAGCTTGATTAACATGTTGATACATTAATGTTTCTAGGATGAGGATTACGAATTTACAGTTCCAAAATTTCTCTGTTCTAGCTTCATATGCCTCCCAGTTTATAGATTTCAAGCCGAAGTCACCGACTACCAACAGTCGAGATCTATCTTTATCATCTCTCGTTATTGTTATGAGGCCCTGTCATTTATTATTCAAATCCTCCTTGTCCATGTGTTGCAGGACAGTGGACTGCAAACACATGGTTTGATTATGTGTTTATCATCATGATTGCAAATCTCCAGTACTACTACTGCTTGTGGATTGGCAATCATTATTTCATTTACCTTTAGGTGTTCTTTCACCAGCTCAACGCCTCCACCTCCACCTTTCCTAATTTTGTTATCTCCGATCTCCAAACCGAGTAGCACCTTGGGAATACGACCTCATTTAAAATATCATCTTCGAGTTTTGTCTCATTGAGTGCAACAATATCTGGCATTTCCAGCTGTATTACATCACTGATCAGTGATGCATTACATCACTGTTCATTACATCAACAGGTGTGATCAGACTATTGTGCAGAGAAGGAACCTCAGTCTGCATGTACAGTACTATCACCTGTACTAAATGTGCATCATGACTGATCGTTAACTAAAAGAGGACATACACTCAGTGGAATTGGATGTCAACTATTCACATAAAAGGAAAACTACGTCAACACTGCAAGTAATCAACAACCCTATGGACCTCCAGCAAAAATAACAATTAACAGACTATTCAAATTGAGGCATGAAACAGCGAACTTTCTCTTTCTTCACAACCTGGCAACAGTACGAAAGCTGTAAATGATTTTTCCAAATGATTTGATTAAAAGACAAAAAGAGTATAAATGCTGCAAAGGCAACCCATAGGAGAAAAAGAATAACCACTACATGGGCCATAGCTAATGGACATTGCCAACTAACCAGCATGACAATGCAAACTGGAAAAGAACCAGCCAAGAGCACAGTGGCAAAAGACAGGACCTCAGCCCTGGGAAGTGCCCATGCAAGGGCACTTGCATGGGCACTGCCACCACCAAAACCATGTAAGTAGCAGCCAAAACAGGCAATCCACCTGTTAAGCAATGCGATGTGGGAAACATTTTTTTTTTCATATGCATCACAATGTAAGATTTTTCATTAGCTAAGCTATTTAAAAGTTAAATACTTATTAATAGGGTTAATAAAAATGTCATAGGAAAGAAATTGTAAGGCTGGTTTTCATCTTGGAAGCTAATAAGTTGCATTCAGTAACATATCTACTTTTAATTTGACTCGGTGGAGGCACCAGAAATGTTATGAATATGATTATGAGATATTCATTATTATGAGAGTACGAGGTAGGGGACCATATCTCCTTACTTATTCATTGAAAGAGATTCCTGAATTATTTCAAAGAAATTCTTGAGCTACAAAAAAAAAAAAATTGGGTGTAAGAAAATTGTTGGGTCCTGGTTCCATTACAGCCCTTGGGGATAATCACCCTACCTAAGAGAAATGAGCTTCAGGGTCTAGATCCTGAGAAATATTGGGGACGAGAGTGAAAACTCTTTACAGACAGGTTCTGTTGGATGATATCTATTACATGGTAAATAGATATTAATATTATGTTCAGTTATAACTTGACTAGCATTGAAAAAATTAGGGTGTGAATGGCAACTCTTTTTAATATGGCTCTTATCACATTTTTAAAGATTTCATAGATAAATATAACATAAGAGCAGCAGTTGTTGCACTGATTAAGCTAATGCACGAGAAATACAGAAAACTTGGCAAAAAGTAGCCAAAACAAAGCGTTGAATGTAATGAAACGCCATTTTCTGGGCGAGCCTCGGAGGCTCCATGAAGCCTCTGGGGCTCCCCACAGGAAAATTTACAATTACACTGTTTAGGAGTTCAGATCATTTGGAAATCCAGAATGATGTAATCTAAATTTTGAAAGTGGCAGTGCACTTGACAGTTAAGGTTGCCTAGTCAAAACATATTGGTAAAGTATATATGCTGCTGGTATATACCTAAACCAACAGCAGCACTGATGAGAAAAAGTTGGCATAAAATGTCAAGGGCAACTTGCAACATTTATTTTTTAGACAAAACTATTCAGCAATTTTATAAAATATTTACCCATCATATGCACCAGACACTATCCTCTTGTTGTCAAATCTAATGCAGCGGACTAATTCTTCATGACCTTCAAGTATCCGCAGACATGCTCCACATTCAATGTCCCATAACCTGCAAAAAAATAAGGTAATGAGTTCATTACTATCACTCAAATTAGGGACTCAAAATTTTATGAATATATAATTGGCTAGAATCAGACAGGCTTCATACATACATACCATACAGGGGAATCTCACTTAAACAAGACCTATTTCACCAGAAAGTAAAAAGCAACAAAATCAGTGTCTTCTGCTAGTTGGACACTTCATGCATTTGTGTAAATGATTGTATGTGTGTTATATATTTATATATATATATATAGAAGGGGTATATATATATATATATATATATATATATATATATATATATATATATATATATATATATATATATATGTCGTACCTAGTAGCCAGAACGCACTTCTCGGCCTACTATGCAAGGCCCGATTTGCTTAATAAGCCATGTTTTCCTGAATTAATATATTTTTTCTAATTTCTGTCGTATGAAATGATAAAGCTACCCATTTCATTATGTATGAGGTCAATATTTTTTTATTGGAGTTAAAATTAACGTAGATATATGAACGAACCTAACCAACCCTACCTAACCTAACCTAATCTATCTTTATAGGTTAGGTTAGGTTAGGTAGCCGAAAAAGTTAAGTTAGGTTAGGTAGGTTAGGTAGTCGCAAAACAATTAATTCATGAAATCTTGGCTTATTAGGCAAATCGGGCCTTGCATAGTAGGCTGAGAAGTGCGTTCTGGCTACTAGGTACGACATATATATATATATATATATATATATATATATATATATATATATATATATATATATATATATATATATATATATATATATATATATATATATATATATATATATATATATATATATATATATATATATATATATATATATATATATATATATATATATATATATATATATATATATATATATATATATATATATATATATATATATATATATATATATATATATATATATATATATATATATATATATATATATATATATATATATATATATATATATATATATATATATATTTATTTTATTTTATTTTATTATAGTATATTTTGGTAGCAGTCTCTCTAGTAAACATATGTTGTTAAATATGACCAAAAAGGTAGGATTAATAATTCTAACAAATTTTCTCACTATTTCTTATGTTTCTTTTCACTGTCGATGGTAATTGAAAAATCAGTTCTCTAAAATTCATTTTATTTCTAGTCTGACGCGACGCTTGAACGCGTTTCGTAATAACTTATTACATTTTCAAAGACTTTAGTTTACACACACAACTGTAACCTGTAAACACATCCATACTTATACTCGCATTTGGGTGAGGTGATTGACATTTGCACAAGACAGAACACGAACCAATGGATATAAAAACATAAGAATGGGAGTAACTGCAGAAGACTTATTGGCCCATAGCATCACCACTTCCCCTTGATGCTTCTATATTGGTTTGGAGTCTTAAAGTGGGTAGAATATAGTTGTGCATTAATTAGCTGTTGATTGCTGGTGTTGACTTTTTGATGTGTAATGCCTCGCAGATGTCGAGCCTCCTGCTATCGCTGTATCTATCGATGATTTCTGTGTTTGTTAAGATTTCTCTGGTGATGGTCTGGTTGTGAGTACCTCACATGTGTTTTCTTAGGTTGAACCTTACCACTGACTTTCTTGGGACCCATGGCATCACTATAATTACTTTTATATTCAAAAAATAAAAAAGCACAAATATAATGAAATTCTTTACAAGCAAGATCATCACTAAGCGGGCAGCTCTGGTAAACTGAAGCAGGATCGCCCGTGTCACCAGGAAACCAAGCGGTCGACCCATATGCGTATCAACAAAGTCGCTAGTCGAGGCAAAAGTCCTAAGTCGAGTTGCATTTTCCAACGAAATTTACGTCTTAACTAACAAAAAATTGTAAGCGGGGGCAGTCGTAAGTCAAGGTGCCACTGTACTGTATATAGAAATAGGGATGTATTCCAGAGAACTCGCACACTCTTATCCCTCATATCTCAACAAAATATATACAGTAATACACTTCTACACTACTGTATTTTACACCACAACAAAAAATTATGTAAAACTAGACAAGCCCACATAAACTTGCACTGGGCAACTTTTTGAAATAAATGACAAGATCACATTACATATGAATTCTACTACATGAAGGGTCTATTGTGCTAACCAGTAATTTACAGTACAGTGCTTTATAATGGCTATTTCATAATGATCTAATCTATACAGAAATTTAGCCAACATCTGTTCTAACCCGAGTAGCTGGATTGTATATTTCAGCAAGGAGTATCCACTTAACTATATCCCAAATATGATCACACTTTTACCCTTCCTCCTCTATTTTTAAGACAAAGTCAAGTTTTTGAAAATGTAATAAAGGTTGTCATTTAAATTGCCAATGGCAAGATAAAATTGGCAAATCATGCAAACAGGACCATACCTGTGTGCTACACTTACTTACCTTATAGTATTATCTGAGGAACCACTGACAACTAGTCTGTCCCGATACTGTAGACACGCAATACCCCTTTTGTGTCCATTTAACGTACGTACAAATTCACACGTTCCTGTGCTCCATACCTGTAATACATGATTTAAAGATTCATTGAATGTACAGCTAATAGCAAATTGAAATCAAACATTAAGGAGATGTGTTTTGAACATAGCCATTCACAAGAGAAAGCACCAGACCATATCTTAGGACACACAAAAAAGTGCTGTAACAATACTTGGGATAAGGAGTTGTATGATTACACTGGTCAAACATTTGTCAAAAGTTATCTGCCTCCGAGATGAAAAGTGCTATTTATCATGCATTTTGATGTGCTGAATTCAAATACTGTATCTTGTACACTAATTAAAATTGCTGATTAGCTATGTTTTTATGTGTAAGGTTGGTAATAAAATCTTGATCCAAAAAGTGGTGGATGCTGAAAAATTTTCTCCCAGACTCCAAAGATGTACAGTGGGCAATCAGCCTTTCATGATAAAATGGGAATCATTTGCATGACTATCCTTTAAAATCTTTCTGCAGTACAGTACTTTTCTGTGTTGGTATCAGCATAGCGCTCAGGTACAGTACGTCTTGCAGGGAATTCAAGGTTGAAAAGTGTGAAAGATTACTCTGCAAGTCGACTTTCAAAGTTTAAATTTCATCCAAAAGATACAAATACAGTCAAAAAGCTGTCACTAATTTATTGCACCTTTGTTAATCGTTTGTTCAGCTAATTTAAGTGTTCTATAACATCCACCATGAAAGCTTTATCTCAAAATCATTCATTAACTTTTAGTTAATGCACATCCTTTCCATTGTTTCATAAAATCTGTCCTTCACAATGTAGTTAATTAAAAAGCTCCAAAACAGCTTCTAGACTAAACTATCGAACATCAATGAGATACGGCAATTTGTGAGGGTTATAATTTGTTCTCCAAAAATGCAGTTGAACTGCCTATAGTTATGATTTTATGCTTATACAAAGTTCACTATCTTCATATCATCAATGACAAAATCCATTTTTATTATTTTACTGCATAACTCTTCACTATGAATAATGCAATGGAAATTGCAAAATTCATGGTTTGCATGTCACAACTAGTACTTTCTCCTATAATTTAGTATCCACACCAGCTTTTCTAACCATCATATGAGCAGTGTCCTGGGTGGCCCAAGGTCCTGACTTATGAAGAATATGATAAATGTTCAGTAAAGAAAAATCCCTAGTTTGGCAAAATAATAGTTAATTAGAAAGAGGGCATCTGTAATCTTTTATGGGAGTAGAAACAAAGCCAAATCAAGTTAATTTATTCTTACAGTATTGTATTCCTAATTAAAAAAAAAGTTCTAACAAACAAAAGAAAATGTAACAATTCCATACCTTTATAGTTCTGTCACCAGATGCACTAACTATGTACTTCTCGTCAAAATCAACAACATTTACAGCCGCTCGGTGACCCACTAGTACACGTCTTAAATTAATTTCAGTTGGGGACACCATGTCCCAAACAGCAATAGATCTATCCTGTAAATAAATTAAATCAATATAAACATACATACAGTTCTTTATTCCAATTTATAAAAACTGTATTAGGTATACACATGTGCGCACACATACAACAAGGACTGAGGACTTTTCCAGAAGTATGGTATATATATATATATTTACTTAAGAGCGTGACTAGACGGCATTATATATTAGTAAGTAAGTAAGTAATTATCAAAAGAAGGCACCAAACCGGGAAGGCTATGTAGCATTATATATTGATGATCATTCTATTAATTTTCTCAATGTAATTTTTCCATTAGTGAATGTGTAAGATGCTAAGAAATCAATGTCACACTTTTTGCAACAATTATCAAAGCACAATGGTTATTTTGTTTTGGCACTATGGTCACATATGTATGCAATGTTTGGTCATAGTTTTAAGGGATGAAAAGAACGGAATGATTGAATGACACCCTGCCTGTATGCACTTTTATTTTTATATGTAGTTATTGATAGGTAGAAACATTGTCTGGTAACAACAATAGCTTGGCTAAACCACCCAGGATGAAAAGTTATTATGGTGTAAGCAAGGCATTTGCACTTGAACCCTTTCTAACAAAAAAAATGTAGAATGTAACGAAACGTCATTTTCCGGGTGAGCCCCGGTGACTTTCTAAAGCTACTATATTTGATATAGTCCCAGACAACAAGGTGCCATCAGTTGAGTTGTTTTATCTTCAACCCTCCCTCCCCCCCATGCCCTGGGGATGGGGGAGGGTGTCACGGAGCCACTAGGGCCAATTCCATTTCCAAGGCTGATAAGCAGGGGACAGAAGGCTGGGGCGAGGCTGCAGAAAACTTGAGCAGGAAACGGGATCAAGGTGAAGGAGGGAGATACAGCTCGTTGGCCCTACCACCGTGAATAAGATTTGCAGCTGAAGCTGAAGATTGGCGGATGTATGGGATCTTCATGGCTGCTTGCATGTTGTGTCACATATGAGGGTCGGCTTCAGGTTTGCAGCCTATCTTACGAGGCGATGCTTGAATTCTGCGTACATTAGTAGCGGTAATTTGGTGTCCTTGGGATCGTAATCTTTGGCAGGAAGCTCCGTTTGTCCCTTTGGATGTCTGCGGTAGATGTCTCAGTCATAGTAATACTCCTTCAAGATGGCAAGTTTGGTGTAGGTGTTCATGGTGCTAGCGTAGACATACATGGGGTACGGTTACTGGATGGGGTTCTTTGTACCAATTGATGAACATGCTACATTTTTGAGCCATTTGTCATCTGGTGCAGACAAATCTGCCTGGAGATGCAAAGTGCAGAAGGGACTCCAGCAATTCGAGGGCAAACTGAAGAGGCAGGCAGAGGAAAAGAAACTTTAGAGGAAGTCTTGACCACTGACAGATGCAACCGTTTCAGCGTTTATCTGCACTCGCTGCGGTTAGAACTGCCGTTCTCGGGTTGGACTTCATAGCCACAACAGACGTTGCACCCAACCAGACACCCAGGGCACAACTCCATAACCCCACGGGATTATCGGATACCTACTGTCATCTGATGCTAGTGTTGCCGTTGAATCTGCTGGAGTCCACCCTGAGGTAGAGGACATACCAGGGGCTGCTGTCTTCATCGGCATTGTCATCTTTAGGTGGAATGGTCACTTCATGGATCTCAGCGTTGTTGGCAGAGGAGGGCTGACTGGTGTCAGTTGCAGGAGCATTGGGTGGCCCATTGTCATGGTCAGGTGCGATGTTGTCCTCGCTAGAACGGGCGGCCTGGGTGGGGCGAGTCCCCGTTGCTGGACCTGTCGTGGGCTCTACTGTGGGGTTGGCGGTGTGTGGTCGGCTGGGTGTGTCATCTCCAGGGTGCAGGTGGTAGCGAGGTAGCCACAGGTGTGTTCTCGGGTAGGCCCGGGAATGCAGATGTAGGTGGGTTGACTGGGTGAGGTATGGTGGAGGTAGTGTTTGCCGTCATCTTGATTTCCTCCTGCTTGTGAAGTCAGGTGAAATTGAAATGTGCACGCCATTGCAGAGTAAGCAGTGCCAATGGGAAGATGTGCAGGCCATATAGTTGTACTTCTGGGTGCGGATACTGCACTTCTTTGCTAGCTCGGTGCATTTCCTGGTATAGGAGAAATACCTGTAATACTTGAAGCACTTGCAGAGCTTCGTGTATCATTCCTTGGTCACTTGGGTGGGTGGTATGATAATTCCAGTGCACTTAACTGTGTTGGTGGCAAACATGAATAAATTTACATAAAATTTTCATAGTGCCATTGCTCCCTGTGCCTCTCTGAGGTGGGACAGATTCTGGCTTGTGGTCTCCAGTAAGCCAAATAGAACTCCGCAACTGATGGCACTTTATAGTCTGGCACTACATCAAATATAGTAGCTTCACAGAGCTGCAAGGGGCACCCCCTTAGAAAGACCAAGGGAAGAGGGTTCTGGTGGCAAAGATTGAGAAGTTTCAGGTGCTGAAATTTTAATGAGAGTGCTCAAGCAGTTTAAAAATAAAAAATACTATACAGAAGTTATTCACAAGTTTATTAAGCACTGAAAGAGTTAAGCCAGCCAACAAAAGTGTCTAACTTCACTAAGACAATAAAGCTAAGTCACTTTTTCTTTAATTCACCACTGAATAGTTTTACCACTAACTGATCTAGAAAAATTAATAATCACTAATAAATGATAACTTCATCACACAGTATGCAATAACAAAACTGTAGCAGAATGTTTTAATTCATATAGATGTATAATGACAATTGCAGTGGGCTAGATCAACAATGACAATAACCATATTTTAATGGTTAAAACAGTTGCAATCTGATGACTTATCCCACCAGGTGCAACAGGTACTCGGAGAGAACTCTATCAACATCAGAGGCCCGAGACTGTTCAACACGCTTCCACTACACGTAAGGGGCATAACTGGCAGACCCCTCACAGTGTTCAAGAGAGAACTGGATAAGCACCTCCAAAGGATACCTAATCAACCAGGCTGTGACTCATACGTCAGGCTGCGAGCAGCCGCGTCTAACAGCCTGGTTGACCAGTCCAGCAACCAGGAGGCCTGGTCGACGACCGGGCCGCGGGGACGCTAAGCCCTGGAAGCACCTCAAGGTAAGGTAAGGTAACCACTGTACTAAACATACCTTCGAACAAGTAACCATCATTCCATTGTTGAAGCGTAAGTGAAGAACAGCCTCACAGTGGTGGATAAGCGTATTGGTCATATCTCCAGTGTTAACATCCCATACTCTAACTGTAGAGTCTGAAGACCCACTGATAATTACACGCTCATCATACTGCAAACATAAAACTGACCCTGTGTGCCCCGTCAACACCTGAAAAAAATAAATGCACATGTTGTTATTGCATGTGACTGGTAAATGACAGTCCAATTATCAACAAATCTGGCAACACCTGACATTATAAAATAATTAAGAAACAGGAACAATGATGAGAATTTGAATAGCATACACTTACTTAATATCAATTAACTTATTTTCACAAAAGCACTTCCATATTTCTATGTACCATATACTTTTGTTTTGATTATTGATAGACATTAAATATAGGTATACAAAACCTTTTAAACATTATATATATACCCTTACATAGATGAAGTGTTCCTATGACTAGGTAAAAAATATTTTGAAACCATTAAGAGAAACCATGAGTTAAAATTAAAGTTTACAAGGACAAGTATCAAATAATAAGAAAATTGTATAATACCGAGGTAAAAAGTTGAGGTGCTGCCGTGATATGAACAAATCAATTACACTTGTGAAATTCCTACATAAATAATCACAATACTGCACAGAAGCTACCTAATAATGGACACATTCCCACGAGCTGTCACATAGTAATATAAACAAATACCAGTCAAGGACAAACCTTTGTTTTAAACACTGTACTCACAGAAGCAACTATTCACCGAGTGAAACACTAACAGAGGCTTGTCCTAAAATTGAATTTTAAGTTTTGGTGCCTGTTTAGAGGAATGATTCCCAACCAGGGTGCTGCTGATGGTGTATAAATGTACATGAAACAAATGATGTGAAGGAAAGGGTACTAAACAGAGCCAAAATCCAACATGAAAAGCACACTAACACTATACTGCAAGAAACAGACATCCTAAAGTGCCAGCAAGACTGCTGCACACCACTTGTACCTGAAAAAGTGGATGCCACAGGGAAGAATAACCTGAGAACGAAGCTCCAGCCAAAGGATGATAACTTTGAACAACCTAAACGTTACTCCCCCCCTACCCCCACCCAAAAAAAAAAAAAAATACGAAAAAGACGACAAAGTAACATTAGCCAAAATGGATCATACACCACTTGGCTCTGGTAGCAGAGTAAAGTGGAGCAGTGGTAACACACTCACCCCATGCTTCACAAGCATTTTGGTCTAGGTTGTTATAGGGAGTTGTAGCAGAGGAGGATTGACTAATTGCAAACCATTAACTGTACGCCTCTGTTCACCCAGCAGTGATTGCGTACCTGGTGGTTAAATGATTGGCAGGTCATATTCCAGGGAAACTAGTTGGTAAGGATTACCATGAGCAATGGGATGGGAAAGCTCTCAGCATGGCTCTAACATGAGCCAACAGTCTCCTGGAGCATACCTAGAGGGGGATCTGGGAGTTCTTCTACACCCTGAGCCTGGCAAGGGGACCCAGGCTCAACGTGTGATAACTTGGTCCAACAGGCTGTTTCTTGGAGCAACCTTCAGGCCCACATATTCACCACAACCCTGTTGGTCTGGCACTTCTTGCAGAAACTTATCTAAAGGTTTTTTGTAGACATTCACCTTTGTTCCACCTCGAGCAATAATCATTTGCAGTTATCTAGAGGCACCTGATTTCTATCAAGCATGTTGCACCTATGCATTCTGGCAAACATTTCTCAGTTTTGTGGTCGATTCCGTATCCCCTCACCTTGTAGAATGAGTCAATCTGCTTCTGGCTCCAGATAAGTGATGGAACTACAAGAAACAATGCTACAACCTTTAAAAGTATACCTTAATCCCTAGCAATTAAATATTTAAATAAATTGTTTACAGTATGCAGATATGTACTGAACATTGATAAGTACAGCACAGTGCTCCCTCAAAGTTGTATGAAATCCAGGGTTCCAAAAAAATGCCTTTTATTGGCTACTTATGACCAAATTTTCTGGATTATATTTATAATGATATAATACACATTTTACCATATTCAGATATGCAATACACACTACAGTATAGCGATTTTGTGTCCATAAAAATAATAATTATGAAAAAATAATAAATAATGTTCACTTACCTTTTTGTAGCAAAGGTTGGTCTTGATAACCCAGACATAACAAAATGCAGTTATAGTGCAATGTCATGCCTTTTATTAAACTTCGGTAGTCACCCTGAACTGTCCTTGAAGTCCTCAATGCCCATGGTTAAAGCCATTCTTTCGGCACCAGACTGTAACTGAGCACCACCAACAGACTGCACCAGGCTACAATGCTACATAAATCACTTGTAAACAGCATCATCCAAATCCTCAGGCTTGGAAGCTTTCAATATTTTTGGTCACGTCTTTTTCACCACAGCTCGACATTTAATTCACAAACTATATGAATTGCTTCCTTTACTTTTTATGCTAAAAACAGCACTAGTACCATCATGGTCATCGGCCATTCACAATCTTATCCATGATAAGGAAGCTCTTCTTACCTTTGGCTGATGTACTCATACTACTATTGCTTCAAGACTGCTTCAGCTTGCAAATAATGATATACAAGAAGAAAAGACGGTGAAAATGCATAGGTATCGAGAGATCATACCAAACCCTCGCACGAGAAAAAACTGTACAGGGGCTCTCAGAGTAAGTCAGGATTCTACGAAAAATATATCACTCCCCCCTTTGTACAATTTATCGTAAAGTACAAGCTTAGTAAAACATTTATGAACCATACATGCATTATGTAATTTAATACTGTATTTACAAATAATAAAGCAAGATTAGCAAAAATAAGAAACACAATATAATTTTATAAATATTATATTGTGATGATGATTCAGATTTCAACGTGTTTCCCTCGGAAGCCAATTTTCTTTTCTTCTCGAGAAATACATATTAATTAATTTAAAGAGAAATACATTAAGTGGATTTAATCCATTGTTTAGAGAATACATTATATAAGATCCAGATTTTTGAGCAAGCACTACACCTCTAAGTGTATACGCCCAAGACGAAAGCAGTATTTGGCATAAGTGAATGAATAAATTACATAGTATGCATACAGTATTTTTAAATTCTTGAACAAGTGTATGGCTAGTAGTGTCCCTGAGGTCATCAGGCCCTTCTCTTTTTTTGGAGCAGCCCTCTGTGTTCTAAAGAAGAAGGATGGGGGGAATAGGACCCATTGACATTAGCAATACCCTCTGACACCTGGTAGCTAAGGCTATAGCGAGGTCAGTCGGTCAGCCACCATGTTGAAACTCGATCAGCTTGGGTTTGGGATCCCCCTAGGCTGTGAAGCTGCAGCGCATGAAGCACATTGCCAATTTTTCAGACCAGAAGGCCCTAGTTAAGCTCGACTTTAAAAATGCCTTCAATCAAGTCAAAAGACATGCCATCATCTGAGATATATGTAGGCATTTCCCTCCCCCCCTATATCTATTTATCCAATTGTACTACAGTAGTGACTAACTTTCTCTTTGGGGAACATAAGAGAGACTCGTGTGAATGTGTCCCCCCCCCCCCCATCTTTTTTTGCAGAGCTATCATACGTTACTGATAGTCAAGTGAGCGAGCATGACACCTGGTTTCCTGGATGATGGCACTCTTGCTGGAACCCAAGACACCATCATGGAGGTTATAAGCAAAATCCAGGAGCATCAAATCCAGTTAAATGATTATCTGAAAGTTTTGCCATGGGCCAGAACTTTTATTTGACAATAATTTTCAGATGACTAATTTTATACTGTACCTACTGTGAATGTACCCAACCCTGAACAATGTACACACCAATAAAATTATCTGATAATATATAAATGTCTATGGCTAGGATTTAAAAGGAATGAAATATTATTGTTAATGAACTGAAAGAAACAGAATATTTAAAGTCGTTTAACTATTTTCATCAGATATGAATGATATTTTATGCAAGCGCTTTACTTAGCACTCCAAATCAGTCATTTTGTAAAAGTCAAGAAAATGTAACATTGAGACAAGTTTCCTTCTCAAATAAAAACTACTTGTACCTATTTCTCTACCACTTTCGGCCTTATCCATAATCCACATTGTCAAATGTAGTGAAACTGAAGATCTAAGCCTTGAAAGAAACTAATACAAATACATTTACTCAACTTATCTTCAGTCAATGAAAGTGACACATCATCTCATTGCTGGATTGCTTCAGAACTACACAAGAGAATATAATTTAAATTGATCAGTATCACATACCTAAACATGGCCCCCCAGGCTTTGTATCAAAAATATATGCATTTACCATCAACTTGTGTTCTGTGAAGCAAAGTCAAACACGACTTTAAACTGCTGACTTGTTTTAGAACAATAATAAATAATTTAAACTAATATCTACATTAAATAAAAAGCTTACTCTTATAATATCAGCATTTTACTTGCAATATTTTAAGTACTGGTACTAAACATTCCATTCATTTCAAAACTTTTAACAGGAAGATTAAGCTTATAGTCTTATAAATAAAGTTAACTGTCAACCTTAAATTTGACATCCAATGATTAATGACAATTACAGCTAAAAAAAATACTGAAGAAGATCCGACGTACCCCTCGTACCTTGTAACACTGCAGCGAGGTACGATCCCAAATTTTGATTGTGTTGTCCCGAAGACCAGATACAATTTTCTGAAAGAAATAGCTTAATTAACAATTTTAAAAACCCCTATTAATAAAAAATTATATATATATTTACATTCATTTAAAAAAGTATCTAAATGAAAGAAAACGAGAGCTTAGGTGTAAGAGGCACAGGTCATTCTCACACACGTACAAAATTATAATGGAAGCCTGCAAAACATACAAGTAATATTTTTGTAAACCAGGAACATCGAGAACAAGAGAACATATTTACAAATTAAACAAGGTTGTAAAACATGGTTGTTTACAAGATAACACTTGCAAACCGTGGTAGACGGAAAATGAATGACAATATTGCATACAAAAACCATTGAAAAAGTCAAAGCTCTGTATAACAAGGATGAGATGCCACAAGCTTGGCTCTCATCTTGTAACTACAATTACATAATTACAAAAATTGCTTGATAATATAATAAAGGAAAATAGTAATATTCTAATAACCTAATTAAAGTGAAGCTATGGCAAATTTCAGCTAACACAAGCAGAGATACACTTCAACAAATGATGAAGCCAGTCTATAATCATACCAGTCAAACTGAAATCCAAAGAGCAATCAGGTACAAGGGTAGAAGTGAAACTATATATTTTCAACGGGGCAAGTAAAATTCAAAAGCATAATAGATAATGAACTTAGAGTAAGTAAAACGGTGCAGTCCTACATATCAAGTCACCAACTATTCAGTTGCTCTCTTACTCTTTAACTTGTGAATTATGAATTCTGATTCAATCTGGGTAGAAAGAAAAAAATTCTTGTACTGCATTACCAGAATGTCTTGGCAGCAGCCTGCACTCATTTTATTACATAAAAATAACTTTACCTTATCTAACCAAATAAACCTATCCTAGTAATCCCATAATAATAAAAAAAGATGGAAAAAATACAATGTTACTTTCCATGTTATAATGTCCATGAAGTAAGAAGGTGGGTTTGTTTTTTAGTACTGTACTATAACATTAAAAGTGAATATGAGGGATTTTACGTTTATGAAGAAATTAGGCCGCCTGATGCAGGCACAAACAAAAAGTAAACATCCGAGGAGTGAGACATTAATAAATTCCAAGTTACTGCCTCCAATTGGTTTCAATGCGTGCTCTCTCACCTAGTTTACCTCATCACCATAAGTGGCTCGACAGTGTTCGTAACGAAACTGTCATCATGATGTAACCCATTCCATGACCAATAAATACATGTTTGAAATTAATTCACTGACGAGTATATTTGAGACAGCAAATGTGTATATAAAATTAATGTGCTGACAAGTGTTAAGGAAAGGAAAGATTTAACTCTTAACTCTTAGCCCCATAATATAACCAGCAAATTAGTCAATATTTTGGCTTTTGACTGAGTGATAAAGTTCTGAAAATGGTTTTTCACTGAAAACTTAAAAAAAAAATTCACTGAAAATGTGAAACTAATAAGTTTATCAAAAATATATGGTGTAAGTCTTAATAATCTGCTGCACTAATGCACTGAATGGACTTTTCATTGTTCTCAATCTTGAGAACACAATCAATCCCTCACCAAAAAAACAAAACATATGATAAATACACTACCTGATCATCATACTGTAAACAGTAGACACCTTTAGAATTTTCTGAACGACAGTTTATCCTTTGTAAATTATGTCTACCCATTCTCCAGTTGGCTTCTATAGTTTGTATATCCTGGAAGAAAGAAAACAATCTTAACTCACATCTAAAATTTATTATTATATTAACATCTGCCACAAATTACAAATGGAAACTTTTAATGCACAAAATTCTGTACCTGGAACCAGTATGAAAGCTGCTGCTGCCCAAGTTGAAGACAGGAGATTATTTTTAAGTCTACCATTATATATCCAGCAATACCATTAGCATCCATTACTGGCTACAAATAAATTTTAGTTAATAAAAGTGTAATATTTTAAAGCTCAAAGTAAGGTACATTATTTTCAATCTCTGCCCTCAACCATTCAAGACAATGAAACTTTTTTGATATGATGTGTTCAAAAGCAGTCCATCCTCCTGTTTAGGTAGTATTAATAGTAACAATGAGGACCACTGGTCATATATTGACATAAAAGGTAATTAGAAAGTAGAAATTGGTTTCATTGCATTTGGACAAACTGGAAAAGTTTTTGTACTGATGTTGCAAAGAAAATTTGACCTAACCTAACCTCCCTCAGCCTAATACATGCTGCCTGAGGCCTAATACAGTACATGTGCTATACTAGGCCTAGGAATATTTAAGGTTCGTTTTAAGCATAATTTTTGGTGGAAACTTAAAGTGAATACAGTAGTAGTACCAAATTCTACTATCTAATTGTCCATTACATCTATGTATGATATGAACGATGGTCCACATGTAGTAATTACAAAAATTACAATCTAAACAGGAGGATGTGTTGTAAAGAGTGGAAACCACAAATAAAGTTTTGAGTACAAATGAAAGGGTCATTTATAAGCCACTTGACTGCTACCTTAAGCTGCTCTCAAAGGTACATGGCATTACTGTATATATCAACTTTCCTTCCCCAATGGGTTTTTTTTTCAAATCACTACCTGTTGACCCATTATGGGAGAAGGGAGCCACTATTGATTTCTTTAACTTAGAATGACCTCCAGAATGTTCCTTTATCTGAATTCATAAAATTTCCTAAAAGCAATACTTAACCTCAAAGACTGACAAGTGTCACTCTGCTAGCTGCCTCCCTAATTGCTATTACTACTGCCACCATGAGTCACTACTAGCATAAGTAGTGCAGAGAAATTGTCAACTCGGAAACCATGGACAAAGTCAGAACAAATAGGAGGCAATAGGTACAACTGAGTATGACTTGAAAGAGTTTGTAATCCATACTCAAAAGTTTTTTCCTAAGCTTAAACAACTTGGTTGCTTCCTTAGATGAGAATCACCATGTTATGTGCAGCCAAAGAAAAGAAAAGATGAAAATCGAACTTGGAACACAATCAAAAACTGTATCCCCAGAGAAACAAACATCCAGGTTCACAGATTTCCACCTGAAGTGAAGAACAGGAGGATATAATCCAGTGTAACACACTGACAGTAGGATGCAAATGCACAATTCATCTTCCAAAATTCTTTGGTCCACGTGTAAGCATGAGACACCAAAGAGACTACCCCATTGAGGACAGGAAACTTCTGCAGATCATGGGCATTAATACAAGCCTACAGCTAAGTTTCACAACTCTGTAAAGCATTGAATCCAGACAGCCTTGCCTTAGAACAAGGCACCATAATACGAGGATTGAAGCAGACACACACTTGGGCATACAAGCGGTCTGTATTTGTTCTATTTGGATACCCCAGCTACTATATTTGGACTTTGTTTTCACTATCAATACAGACAAATAACAATTTCCTACTTACATTAACTGATATGTTGCTGAAGGTACAGCACTAAACATTCTGCAACCATGTCAACTTAAAATACACAAAATGTGTCATGACAGTTTCTTCTAGCAGCTAGTGCAAAAAGAAGCTTTGGTAAATTTTGAGCAAAAATTTTAATTTACAAACTGGAGATTGTTGTTTCTAAAATTCTTGTGTGCTTTGAATGAAAAGTATTTTCATTCAAAGCACCAAGAATGTGTGCTTTGATTTTCATTCAAAGTTTTCTATTTTCAAGGAAACTATTTTTATAATTTTAAAGCTAATCCTTAGATTGTTGCCTGCCTAATGTGCTCAAAGTAATAAGCACTTAAGCTTAAGATTAGATTATTGTTGATGCTGTGTGGAGTTGAACAAGCAATGTCAGAAGAAATAAAAATCATTCCAGGATGACTGCTCAGACATCCATATTTTGCTTCTAGTAGATTAACAACATATGAAACTAAGAAGCAAGTAGTGTATTGTGAAGACTAATAATAACAAACAGCAGCTCACCTTTGACCCCTGTAAAATTTCCATAGCTAGCCAGCCAACTAGCCCTCCAGCTAGCTATATAACCAAACTATCCAGCCAACCCAGTGATATATAGCCAAACTATCCAGCCAACCCAGCGATATATAGCCAACCAGCCATATAGCCAGCTAGTCAACTGGCCAGCCAGTAAAAGACCTACCATTGATGTATAATGATTACCTGTAAATACATAGATATTGAAATGGAACCTTTTCTGTAACTAACGACATAATTATAAGATGTGAAGGATAGATGTAACTGTTAATGTAATAATCTCCACTAAGGTCTGATAAAGACCTTTTGTGCCCTCTGTAATCCTTTTTTGCACTAATGCTCACAGGATGAGTATGGGGGTGCACAATAACCTAGCCACCTCCGGCAGGAACAATCAATCAAGACCTGCAAAATATTTTTTTTCAGTTCATGGCAAACCCACCAAGGCAACTCAGTAGAAGACAAAGCAAAACTGAAGCTGAACAGCAAGACCCAGATGGAGATATTAAGATGACCTACCCAAAGTCCTAGTCAAGCCTGAGACAGATTGGATCATAACAAACCAAGGGATAAACTACAAATCAGGAAAATGAGCCATGAGTATCAAAATGTGGCAAACCTGAGATAAGAAAAAGCAAGTACCTTGAACAGCAAACATGAAGACAGAAAGAAAAGAATGAGGTCTGAACAAAACGCAACGCAAGAACCCAACCTCACACTAGGAAAAACAGCAGACTGCTCCCAACTTGCACAGACATGCATGTCCGAAGCCCAGTGCAGCCACAGAACACAAACCAAGTGCCATGCTGAAAGCACCCAGTAAGTGCACCAAAAACCCCGAGCCTGGAAGTCACTCACTGAATCTGGAAGAGATTCAGTCAATCAGGAAGAGATTCGGCCATTCTGGAATTGTTTCAGCCATTTTTGAAAATATCTATGGAAAACACCACCATGGAAGCCGCTAACATTGTTTATCTCTGCAACTTGTATCAGATGTATCATCACTGAACCCAGATAAAAATTTATCTATGTATTATCTATAAAAATTGGAGATAGCATGGGTGGGCAAGAGTGGCGCTCAGAATTACAACTGGATATGCTCGCTGTATCGCCCTCATTTTAGCTGTATCACTTACATCAGACCTTTATGTTAGGTCCTTATTGTGCCTAGCTTCATCAATATCATAACCCTTATGTTCTTCAAACAATAAGGTCTGAATTTCACCGACAGAGAGCGATCTTTCAACACCGTGTCAGACAGGAGTTTGGGAGCCAGAGGCGCGTGCGCCATCCACGGTTGCTCACTCAATACTAAACCGGCCAGCAGCCCTAGGACATTCTGGGAATTTTTTCCAAGATGGCTGCCTCTCACTGGAGGTCCCAAGAGTTCATTTCCTACACAACCTACTGTGCATGCGTTTTGAATGGGTACGAAATATTCAAAAGGTGTTTTCTCGGTTGGTGTAGTTTCCCACCGACCACGTTTTCTTGGTTGGCGCAGCACAGTGGTTAAAGAAAAGATCCTGGACCAAAAAATTCTGAAGAGTTGAACTAGCAGACCAAAGATCTACAGTAGTAGTAGTAGTACAGAATGTTATTTTGGGCTGGATAGAAAAAAACCTAGTGTCTCCTGCCTCAAAACTAAACCTTAACTTCCCCTACAGTAGTGATAGCTGTAAATATTAATTTACATAATGTTTTCTTGCATTGTAAATTAAAATCAATGATCAGATACCATGTTACCAATGATCAGTAACACATGTGCTTGGAAAATTGTCTTATTTCACAACTTGATTGAAATTTGACCAATAGCCAAAGCAAAATCTTGAATATCTGAATAGACCACATAAATAAGGTAAGTAGCATAAAATGAGTGTAATCTAAACTCACCTGAATTATCTTAGGGTAAAGCTTACGATAGTAAGAGTGCCCTGGATGCTGCTCACCCGGCCTTGGTTTGAACAGATACATACCCCTGTTAAAATACAAAAATTACAAAAATATCTAAACACAAAAAAAAAAAAACGTGTAGAAGAATTTGTTCCAAAAGCTCTAATAGACATGCTATAAGGTTTAAATCCAATGTATCAACTCTTCAAATATTCATAGGCAGGAAGAAGTAGAGAGGGAGAGAGTACATAGGGAAGAATAACAGAACAGTCCATGTACCTATGGGTACATGGACTTTGTTATCTGCTGATACACTGTCTACGCTAACTACTACCAACAGCACTGTGTGTGAATAGATATGAGGATACTGAAAGTGACAGCTCTCTCCCTATCCTCTACTCCCTCTGGCTTATATTGGCAGCTAAAAGTATCTTAACTAAGTGGTAGCAGCATTAAGTTGTAATGAGCACATGGAAATATGATGACAAAGGTAGAATAACAAGCTTGTCTTCCACCTAATAATAAGAGAGCTTTGACTACAGTTACTGCTGCTGCTGCTACTAAGAGCATGGACAATCTATACCACTACTATTAATTCCACCATAAATTAAAATATGGGTTGAATATAAATTATTAGTTTCAAAATACTTGTCTAGCCATTTCTTAAAGGCATTGAATTTGCACTTACAGCATCGGCTGGTAATTTCTTCCAATGCTCTACAACTCTGTTGGCAAAGAAACTTTGTTCCTTGTTTGTACTGAAGCTACATCACGAGTTCCATACCATTATTTATATTAGTTAAATCTGCCAGCATTTTAAAAATTATTCAGTATAAAATATTAAAGTTTTGATTAGGACTTCCTGCAACTTAACCCTTAAAGAAAAGATGAGAAAAATATGATAGCACTAAGAAATAAATGTGGTTACTGCATAATACATACCATCCCTTTCTTTCTGAAAGCCCTCTCCAAAGAGGATCTGTGCGTACTTTTCTTTCTATTAGTTTCTTCCATAGGAGACCATCAGCAATAACACGATGCCATTCTTTACAAACTAACTCTGCTTCTCGTAGTGATTTAGCATCTAAATAACCTAATATTTTTTCTGCTACATGATCTAGACCTTTTTCTGTAAAGAAAAATGATGGTCATTAATAAAAATACTGTATATTTGTTACAAATTTGGGATATAGCCAGCCTGATAAATAGGTAGATAACGAACCAGCCAGCCACATAGCTAAACTAGCCAGCCAACTAGCCATATAGCCAACCACCCATATAGCCAGCCAGCCAGTCATATAGTCAGCCAGCTAATCAACTAGACAGCCAGCTAATCATATAGCTAGCCAACTAGCCATATAACCAACTAGCCAGCCAGTTAGCCATATAGCCAGCCAGCTTGCCAACCAGATAGCCAGCTATCCAGTCAGATTTTCAGGTAGCAAGATAGCCAGCCATCTAGTCATAACTAGTCAGCCAGCCAGATAGCCAGCCACTCACCATCACTCACTAGTCAACTTCATCAAAATATTCACCCTTCACCCCCATATTACCACTTAACTGTAAACTATTCCCACAAAGACCATAAAGATTGTGAAAGGTGTTTCTAATTTTTACATGAATTAATATTTTAATTAGCATTTATTTTTAATAAAATAAATGCACAAGTTAAATAGAAGTATTCCGAGAAAAATTGGGAAATCTTTTGCTGGCATCTCGATACACAGTTTTCCAATGTCGGGGACAGGAAGTTTTTTAGGGTTATCAAAGTCCCTTTAGTACTGACTTTCCCCAGGATGTAACCCACAACAGTGCAAAACACCTAGGTACTCTTTACTGTTATGTGAAGAGGCATCCAGTGACAGCAAAATAATCAAGAGCTTCTGTACCACTATGGGAATCGAACCAGGGACCTTTATGTTACGGCCCAAATGTATTTGTAAATTTTTAAGAACAAACATTTTTTGTATAATTTTAGTGGAAACATTCATGCAGAGTTATAGCAGAGTCAGGCCCCACTAGGTTAGGGGCCTGACAGCTGAGTGAACAACGCTTCAGAGTCGTATCCCAGGTGGAGGCGGAAACAAAACAGGCAGTTTTTTCCACCCTGATGCCCCTCTTACCTAGCAGTTAGACAGCTGCTATGGGTTGCTTCCTGGAGGTGTGCAACAAAAAGGAGGCCTGGTCGAGGACTGGGCACATAGACGCTGAGCCCCGAAATCAACATACCCTCAAAATAGCCCCTCTCCAGTATTTCTTAACACTTAAACAGCTCAGCTAATTAAAAGTTCTATATTGTAATGCACATGATAAAATAGTTCACAATCCAATTAAAAAAATCCTATTTGCAGATTCAAACATAGGGGGTAATTGTAAATAGAGACTGAAGAAGTTTAAAGGTCAAGTCGTATTATAGAATGATACAACTAAATATAATGTATTTTGAAATGCATTACAATATTTGCCTTGTTAAATACTGTAACAGCATTGGCTGCCTATATGGACATGAATCAATCTTGTCCTATGACCCTGGCACTGGACAGGATCAACTGTATTATTTGATCCTGAACAGAATACCAATAATGTACAGCAATTGTTTGTAATGTACTTCAACCTCGTTCCGACAGTTTTCGCGACGGCGCTGGAACTACTATATTAGCGTTTGCCTTTCCATTGGAGACCTTCGGCAACGTGGAGAGGAGGAGGAGGGGGGGGGGGGGGGACCTGTTGCATGGGTGACAGCATCTCCTCCATATCAACCTACCCTGGCTTTGCGCCCTAGAGAGGCCACTCCAGACCGATAACCAGAGCGCAACTCCAGTTTCCTATGACTAATGGATGCCTACTATACAGAAAAGTATGTTAAATCATGTTCTCCAGTCATCTTCAAGTCCAAGACACAACAAATATTATTACTTAACTTCCCCAAGCAAGCCCTGGATACCTATGTAAAATATAAACTTAGCCCTATACTGTACCATGACTGAAGAAACACACATACTGTTCAGTATAAGACATCTTCAGCACATAGACATCCAAGGTTTTTTTTAAGAAATTAGTTTGAATCTTACTTAGCAGATTGCAGTTGAGGGCGGCATATATTTGTGCAAGTACACTATATGACTGGGTATACAGTATTTGGATAGAGGAGCTGATTTTGCACAAGCCAATATGCCATTTGCATTCTCCTCTATTACTGTCAAATTGAACAACATTAAACAGCCATATAGCTAAGGAATATGTGGGGGTGTCATGACTCCAACATACCGGATTAAATAGTAGGCGAATATAACGATACAAGGAATAGTAGAATACAGTGACAAGGATGGAAAGTAGGCAGACAAGACTATGGTACAGTGTATGTGTGGTCTCCTATGTCAAATGGTAAGTAAATGTCTCACTTGGGTGCCTAGCCTTCATCTATGTTCGCTTATTCTGTCATTCCTCCTTTTAACTTGTTTCTTTATCTACTTTATCAATGCCTAATAAAATTTTGAACACACAACAATGAAACCACCCCTAACACCACACCTCTATTCTATTTCCCTTCTGTTACGAGGTCCAGTTCCCACAGTTTTTCTGTGCAGATCATTAGCCTTAGTAGAGGAACAAGCCTTGTTGCATACCTCTGTACATTTTTGCTAGTTTTGTTGTGTGTTTTAGAGTGGGGTTTCCACGCAGAGGAAGAATACTCAAGGAGTTATCACATACTGCACATTGTCTCATCAGCCGTCTTCGAGTGGTCACAATGTCACTAAACTTGTGTACTAAATTATCAAACCTAACCAAGGTGTGAGAATATGGTCTCTCAAGATTCTCCCACAGCTGACTTAAATAGCTCATTGCCATTCCTGTGCACTGTGCACAAAGCTCCATCTCTTTTACCCCTGGATGGAAAACTGTCATGTCAGGTGTCCCCAAAATGCCCACATAAACAGGAATACTTGTATCATACAGAGGCTGCCGTATGTCTAGGGGAAAATTAGATAAAGAGGAATAAAGCAGTTTGCCAGTGTCAGGGAGTACACAGTTGTAAAGTGCAGGCGTGGGAAGAGAGGGGACACCAGCAAGACATGAGAGATATGCATGACCTCTGGGGTCAGCCTCAACACTCGCAATGAAAAACAGTGACGTGGTCATGACATCACACTTCTACCCATCACGTGAGGATCAATATCATTGGTTTTGGCACCTGTGTTGCAACGCCATTGGTTAGTTTGTAGACCTGGTAGTTGTGCCTTGAGGAAACCCGCAAGTCCTTGCACTCTTAGTCTCGTGAGGGACGTTGTACGTGATAGACATGTGATTCTAATCTATCGGCCAATATATCAGAATCCCCCACCTGTCAAGTTAAAATCTGCACTTAACCAATATACCAGTGCTCGCCCAGAATTGTGACTGACTACCTGTATATTGTTTAGAAGCCTTCGAGTGACAAAAGGTCCTTGAAATCACCAGAACGAAACAGACTGGTATCGGGTAACACCAGGTGACAAAGTGAGATCGAGATTCCCTGTGAGTGACTCAGTGGTCTAGAGTGAACTAAGGAAAGTGCTGCCAACAAAGTAATCTGTGTGATTTTACCACAGTGGACCTGCTTGGTGTAATAACTTAGCCGCCAACACCGCCGCCACTCAATCCAATGCGTAGCCGCCAGCCACCACTTGCTCTGCCTCACTATACTACGTGACGACACCCTCCTGCCAAAACCTTACCTCCCGCGCCCGTGTCTTTTACCCACAAGTGCATCTACATAAGATAACACCTGCGGTAAGTGTAGAAACACAGCATGCTTCTTGTGAGTACCCCTCTGTTTCATTACAGTTGTATTGGGAAAGCCTGTCATCCAGTGCTGTAGACCAGTTGTCAGGCCACCTAAGAGGTCTTGCATAAATGAGCGTAAGTAAATGGTGAGGGCTAGCCAATTTGTAAGTACAAGATCTTGTTTTTTTTTATTAAATGTCTTTCTGTGTGTGTTGATGTGAGTGGTTAACCACAGTTCTCACCTTCTCAATACCTGACACAGCTAGAGGTGGAAACCAAGACACCCGACAGTGTATACATGTTTATCTGTGTGGTATCACAACATTGCACTTGTCTGTGAATGTGAGCTTCACATACACCACACATTTAGTTATTGTGTGATCTAAGTACTAATCATGCACAACTTGTCTCATTGACAGTGCCCTTGTTGATTTACTGTACACGATTGTTACCAGAGTATCCTGTTTGGAACTCCTGCGACTCTTTGCACATTAGCACTGTTAGGTTTGCCGCGTTAGTGATTGGCTACCAATAGTGTTAAGTTACGTTTTATCCATGAGTGGATCGGAATCGATTAGTTAGATGTCAAGAGTCTCGCTAATGCAATAATAGCCTTGCTGACGCCAATCTAAAGTAAATCAAGCACCCATTGTATTAATGGTTAAGTGTAAATAAACTACTGTTAAGCATAATGCAAAGTTTCCGTTGAACCACTTCTGATTCTGATAAGCGTTTGGTATGCACACCTGATGTTTCTCTCCTACTGTGTCCCTTTGGCATAAATTTAAATGGCTACTCTTTAAACTTTTGCCTTTCCTGATGTGGGAAGCTTCACCCCTTCACTCTGTAGTACAGTACTGTATTCTGTGGGTCTTTTCACTCTAGCTCCTATCTCCCAATAGCTTTGCATTTCTGTTTCAGAACTAAGTTTAATAAACTGACATTTGAATTACTGTACTATGATGTACCAGTGGATTATCTGCTACATTTTGTTTCGAGTTCTGAAAACATACAGTATGTCTTCAAATCCAAAATATTTTATCCTCGAATTGTTTTATAGCCATTATTCCAGCAATTCTCCAGCCCAAACAATAAGTCAAATGCATACAGTACTTAGTTTTTACTAAATTAGTGGAATTTTGATTTTTTCAGCAGAAACAACTGACAGGATGAATCTACTATACAGTGTAACAGTTTAATAAACTTTTTTCTGAAATGTAAATTAATATTATAATGTCGTTTATGTACATTGAGGTCTAGGTTAGGTTAGGTGCTTTGGTTACATTGGTTTAGAAAGTGTTTACACTATAGGCTGAAAGAAAAAAAAAAAAAGCACATTTCAAGTTTTAGCCTTGAACACAGCTAAGTGGAATACAAGTCCAAATACTGACTTCAGTATAGTTTGCAGTATGTACAGTACTGTATTTGACTTGTACGTTGTGAACCTCAAGACCCTTTGTTTTAATGAGGGACTGGATTATTTACTCATCATACTGATGCGGAATGGATCATACATCGCACCTTACAAGTCAAATTTCCTTACAACACCTCTGCTTACCACACCCAAGCTCAGGGCCATATAAAAACAGTTGATTCAGTAGTTCCATGCACATATTATACTTCTTTCAATATTTATCAAATAAAGATCATTCAAGCACTTGTTTCCTTTTCATCTACAATTGTGTGCAGAATTTAATGTCTTTACAATATATACAAATACTGTACTATACTGTACCTACTAAAAAATTTATTTTGTAATTTTATTTATACAGTAAAATATTTGTATTATACAAATCAGTCATTTCCACACATTTATACACAGTACAGTATATACAGAATTAGATGTCGTGCGAGATGAAATGTCTATTCCTGAGTGGCACTTCTGTAGCTTCCCATAACCTTGGCACTGGCCCCTACTAAGAACACTACTAATAATACGTCAGGCTAAGTGACTTGGAGAGCAGAACACAATCCATAACCCAAAAGAGACAACTTGTGTGCCTATATTCATGCTGTACATATATTAAATAGAAAATGACCACCACCCTTGGAATACAGATGGATCAATTAAAATATGTAGTTGCAAATCCATTCAGTCATTTGCTCTAATAAGCACAAAATTGCCAGAAATAAAACAGTAAACAACGTAAATGCCAAAGCACTGATCTTCCCTGTAATGACAGAGGTACAAAATGAATCACTGTATTGAAGTAAAGTCATACCGTTTGTAGTGCAACAACTGTAAATACACAAACTACTGTAAATACAATACGCATTATAGTAAAGATTTTACAATATTTAAGAACAAAAATATTTATATTAAAGAAGTAACAGAGGAAGAAAGAATATTCATCTGAAATATATAAACACTAAATAATTACTGAATGAAGTTCAAACATACAAACCCATTTACCTAATGCAATATTCACTTAATCACTTTGTAGTATACATAACTTATTATACCAACAATCACTAGTTTCTGCAACTATAGAGAAACTGCTGGTCTTAAACAAGTCACATAACATTAGACAATTTTTATGCTCAGCGATGATTGTGTGCACTGGAGTCAATTTTCTGGTACTGGATTCTTTATCTTCTGCACACACAATCTTTTCACTTTTGTGAAAATGTTTTAAAAATGTATTATTATGAGCATCACATCACTATACTGCCTCTTTAATGGTACACTGAAAGCAAATATCACTAATACAATATTGTATTATGTTAGCACTTACTTGGAAGAAGAGTAATAAAGTCTCTTTGAAGCATTGGTTTTAGAAAGGCATTAATGTGTCCGTGTTGATAGTGGCACATTCGTGATAATAAATGCTCCATAAATTCTAACTGATCTTGCTCACTCCATTTTTCAAAATACTGAAGGCACATCTCCCGCTCATTGTTGTATCGAGCTGTAGATTCTTTTTTCCGTCGCCCCCCTCCTCCTCCTCCCACCCCTCCAGAGGAGTGAGAGAGGAGTATTGTGGTCATGGGTTCTGCATCTTCATTGTCACTCACACCATCACCACTTCGAATGCCACCACTTGTTGTGACACTCATGGGCGATGTGTTGTTATCATAAATCACCGTCATGGGTGCCTGAAAGTGCAAAAACGTAATGATACAGTATTGAATTTCAACTAGAAAATTCACAAAATTACATATTAACAAGTGGAAACGGCACTTTACTAGACTAACTGAATCAATTGTGCAAATATGAATTAACACATTATATATAGAAATTTGTGACAGTAGAATATTAAGAACTAAATATAAATTTGTACACAATTTAACTAACTACTCCATAGCCCTCAAGTGATAGGAGCCAGTGCAACTATTGCCTGTGGAGGAGAATGTATCCAGTAATATTCAAAATTCCTAAAATATCTATGTGGATTCCAATGAACACTAGAGATCTCAATTATTTGCCATATTTGAAAATAAAACTGAAAAACCTTAGCTTTTTTCCTCGGAACTGGTATAAAAAAAAGCACCCGTAATCATTAAATTATGAAGACAGCAGAGTGATGCCATGAATGTCTGACGTAACCCATCTGCTGGATTCCTATCACTGTCCTTCCTAATTCATAAAATTTTATGAATAATCCTGATTTTTGTAATTTGCTATTTTTTTTAAGAAATGACATTACACATTTACACACATCCTACAATTGTCCCCTGATCTGTTTGAAAGTTACATTATACAGAAAACCACAAGCAGAGTAAACAATTTTATACAGAATAGAGAAAAATAATTAGGGTCCAAACACCTGAAAACTTCCACAGCAATCTTTCAGTAAAACACCTTTTTATGTGTACTAACTTACTGTAGATATTTTAAAATAATGATAATTCATTGGACAAGCAGCCAGCTTATTCATACAGTACATATTAGGCTTATATCGAGATTCCACTCCCCCCCCCCACCAGGGTCGAATTACTGACCCCCCACAGGATGCAACCCCACAACAAACCGACTAACTCCTGGGTACCTATTTACTGCAAGGTTAACAGTGATGATAGGAAACGCACCCAACCATTTTTGTCCCACCCAGGATTCGATCCTGGAATTCTTGATTGCTAGTCAAGAACAAACCAACTATACTACCAAGACCCTGTTTATAATAAGTTTTGATTACTTTGGAAGAAGCACAATACAGGACTATAGCTAAAACTGAGCTAACACAACATACTTGTCACAAATATCAATAGAAAAATGCAGAATTAGACTATTGGGTACCACTGTTAGACCAGTTAGGAGATGAGGAATTTATGGAGCAAACATATTGAACAGTGAGATGCATCACACATTATAATAAAGCACTCAGGTTTCCACAATCAATTAAGTCTGGCCAAACCAGACCTTGAGAATATTTTGAAAAATTGTGCAACGTCAAATTTAGTATCTCACTCAGACAATTCATGCACAGCCAAACATGCTGCTGTTCACTCCAACTAGGCTCTTAAATAAAGCTGCATAAAGAGATCACTCGCTGATTTGGATTGTCCGTGGTCAGACCACAACCCAAACTACCCTAAATATTTAAGGGGAAAACTTCAATATAATTTTTTTATTGCACCCAACTTAATTCATATTCCACAAACAATATACTACTAGTTACTTTGTGGTAATTACATTTAACTACTGTAAATGTAATTTTTCTTCACATAAAAAAAAAGGTTAGCATATTTACTTTAAATTTCTAATAAGAAAAACTAATGCTCTTCATTTTTACCATTAATTATTATAGTATATTGCTCAATACAGTAAGTCTACAACAGGATCTATTTATGAATGATTTATATCTACTACACTTGGTTATGTTTTCTTCCATTGTCACCAGACACCTGCAGCTACCAAGTTCAACCTTGGTTCAACCTTTGGTTCTAAAAACCAAACGTCTGGAAAATTACACAAAACCTTTTGCTTTAATGTTACTATGCATGGGGTGTATAATATTTGAACAAAATCAAAGTGAAGACTAGATCACACACCAGAAGATGAGGAGTCGTCTCCTCATCTTCTGGTGTACGATCTAGTCTTCATATACTCAGCCACGTTATTGCGACTCATCGTCTGCAACAAAATCAACTTTCAGTGCCTCTGGCATAGCTCACTTATTGCAGTTAATGAGTTTTCGTTTAGAGAAAGCATTTTTGCTAATAGCAGTAAATAGTTTGGAAATCCATCTATTCCCATGTATATTTATTTAAAACCTGATAAATTCCTCCATCAACCTGAGGCCAATAACCCCCACACTAGAGTACCCTAAGGATATAAATACTTTGATACTTCACACAGCAGCAAAAGACTGAACCAAGAACAGTAAAATATTTTTGACATTTGACAGCTTGGAGACGAGAATCATTTCACGACTGTGGCTAGCCAGATACAATTCCACTATTGCAAGCTTTTCAGTCTGTTAAGCTTCGTCGTACAGAGAGAGGCCCAGTTAATATCCCCTTCTGTCGGGAATATAAATAGAGGAACTCACTTCCCCACCCGAGGTCTTCACAACAACGTGAAACCTTGAGCTTCAAAACAAACTCACGAAATCACTTTTATTTTCGTACTCGTGAGCCTTTGGGGGGGAAAATTTCCTGGAAACTATTCCACACTTCACGCAGTCGAATATTCTTAAGAAAAATAGCCCAAATACTTAGCAAGTTTATGGTAAGGAAAGTAAAATATTGACCTTCACTCATCTGAGACGAGTCTGACATGCCAGGAGGCCTTGAATTGACCCTGCACCGTCAACCACACCAGCGCTAAATACGCCTCGCAGGGTACCTAAAATACCGGCACACTTCCAGCCAACGCTGCCAACACCTCCTACCTCAACTGAATCTAGACTATCGTCCAAAAGATGTTCAGTTTCCATCTCCGCTGACAGGACTCTGAGAAAACCTCTTCCATTCGCTTACGATAGATGGCGGAAACTGGAGAAGAGTTGGTAAAACAATGGAGGATCGGCGGGGAAGGAGGGCCATCAGACGCCGCTCTCCGCTTACCCGACACCTTCCTCGCCACCTTCTCCGCCCTTATGGCCTCTGATCCTAATTTATATTAGTCATTCAATAACTTGTAGCCAGAACCCAGGAAGAGACCCATGAGTGTGACGTCAGGCATAAAATGATATGTGTTTGGTGGCGCGCGAATCCAGCGGTACTTTTGAAACATTAACCCTATTTTTACTAGATTTTATCTTGTATAGTTGCTCAGTGAAGAGGGGGGAAAAGGTCATCCACGCCCCAGAAACATATCGAGCTGGCGACCGGAAAAAGTATCGATTGCTTGGAGGCAATGAAGAGATAAATACAATATGCAACCTATGACCAGGTGGAGTGGCTTGAGTTTGATTGCCGACCTAAATCAACACCATATTAATTTCCTATCTATTGTAAACAACAAGTGAGGGAACTTATATTAATCGTATATAATTTACCTTGTTGCAGTAGCAATATAATAATAATTTATTTGATTATTATGTATTATGTATACAAGAAGGTACATTGGGTTTGTGAGAGTACAAAACATAGGTGATTTTACATTCTTGCAAAGCCACTAACACGCATAGCGTTTCGGGCAGTTAAATAACAATTCATTGTGTCGGGGGACAGGCAGCCAGTGGATAAGAGGTCCCCCCTCTCTCAAATGTCTAACTACTGGCCCTTAATCCCACAACAAGCTGACTGTCTGGTACCTATTTACTGCTAGATGTAGGTGATAGGATTGATTGATTGATTGATGAAGATTAAGCCAACCAAAAGGTGGCACGGGCATGAATAGCCCGTAAGTGGTGGCCCTTTTGAGCCATTACCAGTATCAAGAGCTGATACTGGAGATCTGTGGAGGTGTGACTGCACCCTGCGTAACGGGAGATGTCTCCCCCGTGAGGTGATAGGAAACGCGCCCAACATTTTATATCCATGTCTATAACCCATAAATTTAAACATACAACTTTTGACGAGAGAAGAATTAACAGATGCATATTGTTACATTTCAATATAAACTGCTACATATTAGCCCTATAAATAATATTTTAATTCTTAGCATTCAGGAAAGTATATCACAACATATTTCCTTCGCAATTTAATTATATGAAGAAAATAAAAGTGTAAAGTGTGAACATTTCAGAGAAGCTATAAGTATGAATGAAATAATATAATGAATAAGGCAATCCCAGTAAATTTATAGAATCCGTTTTCAAATGCGGGATTAAAGGAATTTAAAAAGGAATATATGACTAAAAGTCTATTTACCTACAAGTAGATCATTTTTTCCGGGAAAAATTTACCTTGGGTTATCTGAGGGACACTAACAACTAGGACTAGAAGCCGGCGGTTTATCAAATTCCCCCTACCATTTGTCCTGAGGATTTTTTTCAAGTTAAATTTAAAAATTCAACAGAGTTTTGACATTTACGTCTTCAACAGGTGGGCGATTCCATTTGTTTATAACCCTGTGGGTGAAAAGTCATCTCCTCGGTGAGGTTATTTTATATGAATTAGCTAGTCTTGGTGTTAAAGGGAAATTATTGCGCTGGATAGGGGATTATCTTTACGAAAGGAAGGCTCAGGTGTGGTATCAAGGTTGTATGTCAGGTGTGAGGTCTTTTGAACTCGGCACACCTCAGGGAGGAGTGTTGAGTCCCACCCTGTTTAATGTACTAATGAATAAGATAGCATCTGAGAGATACTCAAATGGGGTAACTCCGATCATATATGCCAATGATATTTTGTTTCAGGGCAAAGGTTCAAACAGTGTTGGACAATTTCGGAAACCTGTGTCACCATATGGGATTGGTGGTTAATGAAAACAAAACTAAGTTTGAATGTAGAAGTCGGAGCCCCATTGTTTTGAAAATAAACGATAAAAATATAGAGAGAGTTAATATATATAAATATTTAGGCTTATATGTTGGATATACCCATGAGAGTTTGGAAGCTGAGATGAACAGACTGTTGGGTCAATGTCGGAAGAGATTACAACCTCTGAAGGCTTTGGCATGCTGTGGAAAGGGAGTGGGAGTCCCTGTGCTACGAATGTTATACTTGAGTACTGTAAGATCTCTTATTGATTATGCTGCACCTGTCATTTCTTGTTTTGGTAAAGGTAGGATGGGCAAGTTGGAGAAGGTACAAAATGAAGCAATGAGAATTATCTTAGGATGCCCAAGAAATGCTATGATTGAGATAATGAGGATGGAGTTGATTCTGCAGAGTATTGGGGATAGAATTTCAGAGATAAATGTAGCCTCTGCCATTAGATTAATGAGAGGTGGGGGAGCTAATGAATTAATCCTCTCGGTTCCAAAGGTGGGAAGTAGTGAACAGTGTATGATGAAGAAGAGAGTATATATGAATAAATTATGTTATAATGTTATAAAGTATGATGTTATTACAGAGTGTATTGCTGTGCCCAAGAGAAAATTTACACCACCATGGGAGGATTGTAATGTAGATGTAGTAATTACTCCCTTGCATAAGAAAAAAAGTATGTATGAAATAGGAGAGCTGAGGGCAACATATGATTGTATAATTAGAAAACTGCCTACAGAAAGCACTCTACATGTATATTGTGATGGGTCAGTAGCTAGGGATGGGAAGGCAGGATGTGGAGTCTTGATCAGGGAGTACACTGACATCGGCACTGTAGATACTGTTATTGGACGCCGCTTAACTGACAATGTCTCTTCAACGCAGGCTGAACTCCAAGGAGTATTAGCAGGATTACAGGAAGTAGTCAAATGTGGTAAAAATGCTTGCTTCTTTATTGACAGCAGAGGAGCGTTAGAGTCTTTAAATAGCAGACGCCCAGTATATCAGAATATTGTGATAGAGTGTAGAGAGAATGTTAAGAGACTAGAAAAAACTGGGTGTAAAGTAAGATTCATGTGGATCCCTTCACATGTGGGGATACTGTTGAATGAGGTAGTTGATGACATAGCGAAGAGAGCCACTGAAAAAACTCTTGTTGATGTTGTATGTCAGTTAACCTTGAAACAAATAAAAACAAGACTCAAGGTGATTCAGGAGGGTGAAGAAATGATAAAGAGAATGGCAATGGTGGACAGTAGTAACACACTTAAGAATTATTCAATAATAAATACAAATTCGTCCTTCACTTATGGTAAAGGAAAGTCTACTTGGAAGGATTCAATTTACATGAGATTACGATTAGGATATAAATATATCTGGCAATACGGTGTTGATGTCAGTGAAAAAGATAAGGAGTGTAAATTATGTAGTATGCCGCACGCCCACACCTTAGAACATTATGTATTAGTGTCACCTTATTGAAAAATATAGAAATAAGGAAATAAATAGTGTACCACATCAAATTGCTTGGATGTGTGATAATGGTATAATAGACAGTATACTTAGGAGCTACAAGAATTTTGCCCCAAGAATGTAACAATTATATGCTGTACTTGCTGTATGCAATGTTAAATGGGATTCTTGTACTGTTATATGTCTATTTGTACTCACTGAATATGTGCGCCCCTTGAGGGACTTGAAGTAGAGGGGGGTAGAAATAGCCTAAGCTACTCTATCCCTTTGAGATGTATTTATTGCTTATCTCAATAAACATACTTGAACTTGAAATTGAATCTCCTCGGTTCTACATTGTGGCTTGTTCAGCTTGAAACTGTTGTTCTTTCTTTGTGATACATCTGACATTTTTGAAGAAGTTGTCCGGATCGACGTCCTCCAAATTGTTCAGTATTTTAAAAGCTTCAATGAGATCAGCCCTGTCATGTCTGGTTTGCGTTGTTGTTAGTAGTGTGGCCCTCAACCGTTCCTGGTATGAGAGGTGACTTACTTCTGAAATGATTTTTGTTGCCCGGTGTTGAACTTTCTCCAAAGAAGCTTTGTCTTTCTGAAAATGTGGAACATGCCTTGGAACATGCTCTTGCTGAACACCGACAACATGTTATCATACATACAGATTCGAGAACCGCTATTGAAACCTTGCAACAAGAACATATATGTGATAACATATATACATCTGATCACAAATGTCATATCATTAATGCAAACACTCAAACGACAAGGCCGACGGGTACTTATCAACTGAGTGCCAAGCCATGTGGGAATAATAGAAAATGACATTGCAGACGAAGCTGCAAAACTTGCAACTAAGAGAAGAAATGTAGACATTTACATACCACAGAGTCTATCACAGATTAAACAAGTAATTAGAAACAGAGCAATGCAAAAGATGTATAGTGACCACAACACAGCAGTTGCAACATCAGGATCTGCGGGTTGGTACAAGAATTCAACCAACAACGAACCACTTAGTTTGATGAAAGGGAGCAGTAGAGCAACAGAAGTACACTTACATTTACATCGCATCAGGCTTGGATACCCATGTGCATGGGAAATAGGCTTACAGGTTCCGGAAGATGAGAGGAAATATCAGCACTGTGTAGAAATGCCCGACAGACCGCTGGAGCATTATCTAACACAGTGCACAGTTACAAACCCATTAAGATTTCAACTTAGATTCAACAGAGCAGAAGAAGTTGTTAAACACATATGGCAAAATCTTACTGAAGCGACCATACGAGTCATAAATACTCATACTCCGCCCAAGTAAAACAGAAACAAGCAACACTTAGTAGGCCAGCCAGAGGCTTAGGGCCCGCGCAGGAATATCCCTGCAAAAAAAAAAATATCCACGTAACTTACCTTACCTATTAAATGTTAACCTATGTCTTGCTGTTTTCAAACAATACTGATTTTTCACCAACTTGTATAACTGCTGATCTCCACCATGTATAAACGTACAGAAACATGTATAAACAAGAAAATTGTCGTCTGTTTATTTAGTTAAAATTCATTCTGCTGATCTGTTGCAATTTTTGCTGTTCCATCCAATATGTAACAACTGTCATCCTTTTTTATTGTTTTGCCTTTTTCAGTCCAATTCATTCTTTTGGGCTCAATTAGTTTAAGTCTTAGTTTTCAAGTGTTTTTCCCACATTTTGTTCGAAACGCTGTGCACATTAGTGGCTTTGGGTATAGTATATACTAGCTCTATACCAATATATACTTGTATAATATATATATGAATGCTAGAAATCCAACATTCTGTTTGGAACTCATCATATTGTATGTATGTAGTTTAACCTGAATAAACATTATTATTATTATTGTATACCTAATCCTGCTAATAAAAAATATATTATTATTATTATTATTATTATCATCATCATCATCATCATCAACAGTAAGCGAATTAAGATTTTTGTGTTTATCACAGACGGCCCTTCTAAAACGTTCTCTATTCTCTTATCATGAAATAAAGAAAACGGCATACTACCGTTTTTTTAATACTAACATATATAATATTTATCTGCGCCCCCCCCCCCCCACTCCAGCCGGAGGTGCCTCGATAGGGACAGGAAGCCCGTGGTTTGTCTAAAGTCTCCTCATTATTCTTTAGGATTTTTTCCAGAAGGTGCAGTGATTTGCACCGATTCAAAAGGTACATACATTGTATGTATGTACCTTACCTAAATAAAATTGTATTGTAAAATTGTATTGTATAAAAGCAGCACTGCAAAGCCTAAGTAAAAATCGGGCAGAAAATCTTGCAATAGTCGCTGAAATTAAGAGAGCTGTAAGAGTACTTACCAATCAGGGAAGAGTCATCAAGTTTCTGTGGATCCCCTCCCATGTTGGAATATGTGGGAATGAACGAGCAGATGTGCTGGCTGCTGAAGGTGCTGAAGGAGACCATATTGAATACTTCATACCCAAGACTCTACTACAAATTAGAGGTATTGTCAGGCAACATCACCGTGACAAGGTAACTGAGGAAAGGAGGATAGAAGCACAAACCAGTGAATCTGTACGATGGTACAACATGGTTGCAGCTGGCAATCCCAATCATTATGGCCGAAGAGGAGGAGGACGAGGGAGAGAATGATGGCATGCCCGAAACGCTTTGCGTAATAGTGGCTTTAGGCATTGTATGTACTAGCTCTATCTATAAGTCCACCAATCTTTGTAAAAATTTCTTGTATGTATGTACCTTACCTAAATAAACATTTATTTTATTTTTATTATAGTAATAGCGAGAATCCGTCTTGGATACAAATATCCATGGAGATATGGAATGGAAACAATAGTTGATCAGCGAAGTTGCAGAATCTGTGGTGAGAGTGATGGACACCGCCTTGAACACTATCTACGTGAATGTGAACACCTGAGAGACATTAGGAATAACTGTAGAATAATAAACCCCACATTGTTTGAGTTAGGAAAACACTATTTGTCAAATATTGATACTGTTCTTAAAAGATTCCCATTTTGCACCCGCAAGATAACGTAAGCTTTTAAGGGTTGATAGATGTTAATCTTCTTGTTTGAGGAGCTGTTCACTTGAGACAGTTAAGCAAGTCCCAGCTAAGTCTGGGTACAAGTGACAGGATGAACAACCCAGCGGGTTTTATTCCTATTGGGGAGTGTTGTACATGCTGCTATGGCGGTGTGTCCACTCACAAGATTAGTGGCGCTGCCCAATAAACTCGCCCCTCGGGGCAAAATTTAAATAGGATCCGGGACCAAGGAGAGAGAGAGTGCAAGGAGGTTTCTTAAGGATCTTGGTTCCAGGCTCATTGAAAATACAAGATACCCTAAAGCAGCAAGTTTTCTCTTCCAGCGCCTCAGTGTAGCGAACCAGAGGGGGAAATGCCCGCTGCATCTTTGGTTCCTGCCCGGCGTCGGAGGAGTTCGAAGAAATCTACTGCCTCTAGGAAACAAACTTCCCTTTATTTCCTCTTAATGTCCATTTTTTTAAATCAATCAGATATGTAACTGTGTAACCTTGTATAATAAAGTGTACAACATAAAAAAGGGGGTGGTAGCAGAAATGAACACTCATACGTACTCAGAGTTAAATGGCAATTTTTTTCTCTGAATGCTCTGTATTCCCTGTAGACGCAGACAAGCGTCGTCTGCTTAGTGCTTGGATGGGTGACCGCCTGGGAACACCAAATGCTGTTGGCAATAATGTAAAAAGAGCCGGTCGGCCGAGCGGACAACACACTGGACTTGTGATCCTGTGGTCCCGGGCCGGCGAGAAACAATGGGCAGAGTTTCTTTCACCCTATGTCCCTGTTATCTAGCAGTAAAATAGATACCTGGGTGTTAGTCAGCTGTCACGGGCTGCTTCCTGTTGGTGGAGGCTTGGTCGAGGACCGGGCCGCGGGGACACTAAAGCCCCGAAATCATCTCATGATGATTTCCCTTCTCCGTGAATATGGGTTCCTACAATTGCACGAGGTGGTATATAGTAATCGGAACGCAGGAGTTACTAGGCTTGTTGTGGGGTTGCGTCTTGGGGAGGGTCAGTAGTTCGACCCTTTAGTGGGGGGGGGAGGGGTGGACCTCGATATAAGCCAATCATATATATACACGGGGTGCCTGTCCCCCGACACAAAGTTGCCTGTCTCCCGACAAAAATACATTATTTACTCAGCTGTATCAGTTCATTGGTGCCTACTCAGTGGTATATCTGCTGTGATATATCTGCTCAGTGGTATATCTCCTCAGTGTTACTACAAGCGTCGTCTGCTTAACACACATCTTTCGCCTATCAAGAAACATACTAACTAACTTTAAAGTGTGCAAGACGGCCCAAGGAATCTTTAGTTAAATGTGAGAGGCGGCAGGATGCCTAGTTTTTAAAGTAAGTTTTCAAATGTAAATTTTTGAAGGAAGCCTAGTCGACCATTTCCAACATGGCGGGTGAGAAACGTCATCACATGTGAGCACGCCTTGACGCCCTTAGGAAGAAGGAGAGGGCGCCAGATTCATTAAATCACTTACGCAAGTACTTACGAACGTGTACATTTTTCCTCAATCTTTGACGGCTTTGGTTACATTTATTAAACAGTTTACAAACATGAAAACTTCCCATTCAACTGTTGTTATTGTTATAAAGAGCCTCCTGGTGCTTCGGAGCTCATTAACTGTTTAATAATTGTAAACAAAGCCGCCAAAGATTGAGAAAAGATGTACAGGTTCGTAAGTGCTTTCGTGAATCTTGCCCTGGCAGATCGCTTGTATGAAGAGTGAGCCATGACTCGACCAATCAAGGAATGATTTGTAGTCACGTGATCAACGGGAGGCTCCTGATTGGCACACGGCATGCGAGGGAGACAGCGGATACAGGTCACTTCGTACTTAGGGCGAATCAACAACGTAATTTGAAATCTATTTAACCTAACCTAACTCAACCTAAACTATCCTAACCAAACCCAACCGAGCCCAATACAGCCTACCTAAAGATAATTCACCCTAATCTAACTATACATACGAGTTATCAAACAGAAAGCGAGCCTATATCGAATCGTCATATGCACGAAATGACCGCACCCCGAGACGTCGCCTCAAGCACCTGCTCGGGGAAGGTCGTGTTGTGGCCGGCTCCAAGAAATTGGCGAATTTCGAGGATACTGAGAGCCAGACAGCGATAATTCGACGTTGTACGAATGGAGTGACCAAGTGGCACTTCCTGGGGAGGAAGATTTTGCCGACGAATTATACAGGTTGCAGGGAAGTTGCAACTCAAGAGAGCCATTGGTGGTTTGGGATCAGCGTCAACTTGATCAACTAGACAGGAAGACTTCACAATCTGTCCTCAGCGTCAACTTGCGAAGTGAAGAGCGCAGTCCTGGCCGGTGTGAATCAACAGAGCTGCAGTTAAGGTGAGCAATGAATGACAAGTTGCAGTCCTGCTGCCGAGGAGAGACTGGCCAGGAAAGAGGGTAGTGAGGGAGTGTAGTGTATGGGATAGTATGGAATAGCATGTAGTGACCACATACTATTCCGTGGCTAGAGACAGTGTTAATTACGTTGAAGTGGCGACACGCAACACGTTTATCACGGACAGTGTGCAGTGACGTAGCCTAGAGAGCCGTAGTGTAGGCCACTGCATATCTGTGAACTACCAGTGACACTGAGGCGAGGTACCTGAAGGCCCAACAGCTGATTATCCAGTGACGGTGGACAGTGTAACGCGGCAGTTTAAGAGGGCTACTGCGTGTAAGTGGACAGTTAGTGACACTTCAACTGCCAGTGTGAGGAGTAGTGTGACACCCTGAGGCTAAGTGAAGGGTGTGTGTGGGCCACAGTTATCGGTGGACTCGATTTGTAATTTTTCCTGCAGTAAGATCAGTTTCACCGGCAGCCTCTCCTGCCCAGGCAAACTGACTGTGGTTTGCAGTGTCGACAATTGCGATATTTTACATCTATATCTAGTTGATTTTTAGATGCGTCTGAATGTCACAAAATGCTGTTTAGATGTTTGACGTTAATCTGGAGGATTTTAATAGAATTTTGGATGATTGAGATGATTTTAGCAAATTTGTCCCAGAACAGCTATTTGCAAGTCTCCGAGTTTACTATCGTATGTTAATCTCAATTTTTTCAATTTGTAAATTTTTTTCTTTCAAGTTCAAGTTCAAGTATGGTTATTGAGACGAGAAAGAAATACATCTCAAAGGGATATAGTAACTTAGGCTATTTCTACCCTCATTTTTTTTCTTTCTGTACTGAAGCAAGTGACATCAATGCGAGATCTGTGCAAGAACAATATTGATGACAGTAAAATTGTGTCAGATTTGAAGATGCATAACATAAAGTGCGTAAATATACATAATGTTTTGTGTAGTCATTTTGTGCAGTTGATTAATTATATAAGTATTAGTATACTTTGTCGTTAGATAAGACTAATGACTTTTCATTTCAAAAGTTATTAGGAGTTTACATTATTTACTATAGTATAATCGTTATAAAGTGTCAACATATCTTGGAATGGTTCTGCGTGATAAATGTGATGCTGAGAGTATTGCAGAGGAAATTATATTATTATCAAATATAAAGTTGGACTTGACGACCCTTCAAGTCCAACTTGAACAGATAATGCGAGTGTTGCGATTGGAATTAATGGAGTTTACGCAAGACCAAAAGAGGAAGTTACAGCAATAATTTTAATGAGATGTGTATGCCACTACATTCAATTTGCACTTTATCACACATCGTCTGAATGTCTACCTAGAAATTTGGAGTTTCTCAATGTAGAAACCCATAAATGGTTCTCTCACTCCTCTGTTAGACAAGTTGAATAAAAAAGTTATATGAATCCCAGTGATTGCACAAGTCCACTAAAAATACTTGTTAATTAACTTTAAAACAAGGTGGCTGTTTATTCAACCAACTGTGGATCGAATAATTGAACAATGGTCAAAATTGAAGGCTCATTTTAAGAAAAAGAGAGAAAATGAGAGGTGTTACACAGTTGAAATTCTTTTTTAAAAGTATTCCGATGAAAAAATCTTGCATTTCTGCTTTTTTATTAATGAAGTATAGTACTTATTGAAGTACAAATTCAACAAATTATTTGATTCCAAAAACATTGATGTAAAATTGCTTGATGATCTCCTACTTGTTAGTTCAGTTGAAACCTGGGCTACCGCTTTCAAACAAAAACGGACGAATTCAGAACCAATAGGCTTATTACAACAAATTAATATATTTTGAAACCGATGTTAAAGTTTTCTCTTATGTTTGTTTGAACAGTTGAAGCAGAAGCTGCCCGATAATATTAAAGTTTTGCAACACATCTTTCTTTTCTCAGTAAATAATATATTGCAACCAAGCAAAGACATCTCTTTAGTTTGCGAGGTCATGAAGTGCTTAGATGCTTCACAAGAAATAATAGGTAAGGCTGAATAACAATTAGCAAAAATAAATTTAGATGATTGGAATAATAAAATAGATACAGACTCCAGGAAAGAAGTTCGTCAATTTAAAGATGTCTCAAGTTCAAGCCCATTTAAAGAAATAAGCAAATGTGCTATCTCTGCAATATTATTACAGCATTTAAATGCTGAAGTAGAAAGAGTATTCAGCACGATGAACTACGTAAAATACAAACTGAGCAGTAAAATGAAATTAGCTCTATTAAATGCTATTTTTATGGACAAATTTAGTTTATCCAATTAGAGAAATGTTGCAACACTTACGAACCTCGAAGGTGTTCCATCCAAGGTGTTGAATGACATCAAAACAATCCCTGTTTTAAAAAAAGATCTTGAAGTTTCTTCTCAACCAGGCCCATCTAGTGCTGAAGATGAAGTTGAAGAGGATTTTTTATTTTGCGTAGTATTGAAATATCAAGGTAAGTAGTATTATGAGTATTACATTAAATTTCCATGCTATTATTTATGTTTTCATAAACTGTGCTGGAGGATTAGTAATACGTAAGATTTTTGTAGTTTACTTTTTAGATGCATGCCTGGAAATTATAGATATTTTTAGATGTTTTCATGTCATTTTTTTTAGGGGGGGGGGATGTTAAACTGGAAATTGAGTTGGCAACACTGGCAATTTTTATCCTCAGTCACTCAGTCGTCGGAGTAGCAGCGAGTGAACGAGGACGAAGAGCCGAGACAAGTTTCAAGACGAGCCATATAAAAGGAAGAACGTTAGGTGAGGAGTGTACAGCAGAGATAATTCTACAGAGGATCACGCCTGGCAGGAGGCAAACGGCAGCAACGAGAACCATAAGTAAATTCAGGTAAAGCAAGTTTATCCCTCCACGTCCGCCCCCTTGAATTAGGCTGTTCTGAGGAACAGATAAGATTTCTATTTATTATAATAATGATGTATATTCCATGAGTGATTATTAATAAATTTCCTGGACTGTGATATTTTCAGGATAATGGTATGATAAATAAGATTAATTTGGTAGAATTAAATTTGATGACAGTAGCCTAGTAACTGAAAATTTTGCTTGCTCTTTAGAATACTCATTGCTTGGAATAAATTTTGATTAAAGTCTGCAAGATCAGTAAAGTTTTGTAACGTTCGAAGGTTAGCGATGCTACTAAAATAAGAACCTTTAGTGCCATAATATTCACCAGACAAGGGTTAAGCAAACGTAAGTCTCTGATCCACACACGTATATTCTAAAACTACAAACCCAAGGATGGTGCGAAATAGCGACTGGTCTTGTGCTTGTCTGCTTGTTGTCTCCACACTGGTCGAACTCCCATCGTATTTTAAAAACTGCAGGTTAATTTGGGCAAACTCTGACCCATCCTCGTTTTCATTAATTGGCATATTTTCGGTATAAAAAATCGTAATTTCAAACGTTTTGGATTAATGGATTTTGATTGATAAATAAAAATGAACCCAAACCATTTGGTCCATTTGAATTGATTTACATCAGCTATTTATCTGTCCACTTTTGTCCACAAGTCTTCCAAGGTGTTCTTGCAGCACTTTACAGTGACATCTTCTTTGCGGTATATCTTCTCAGTGGGAGGTACTCCATGGTGTACTCCATGTGTATATATATACTACTCCATGAGGTACTCCATGTGTGTATATATATATATATATATATATATATATATATATATATATATATATATATATATATATATATACAGTATATATATATGTTCACTGGTATCTGTTCAGTAGTACAGTATATCTGCTCGGGTATATTTGCTCAGTGATATCTGCCCAGTGGTATCTGGTCAGCGATATATGATCAGTGGTATATCTGCATGGTGATATCTGTTCAGTGGTATATCTGCATGGTGATATCTGTTCAGTGGTATATCTGTTCAATGGTTTATTCTCATTCTGAGTGGTATATCTGTTCAATGGTTTATTCTCATTCTGAGTGGTATATCTTAGTTATATGCATGTTCAGTGGTATATCTGCTCAATGGAATACAGTATATCCTAGTGGTATACTGTATATGCTTAGTTATATCTGTTCGGTAAGTATCCGGTCTCCACCACATCCCTTTCAATGCATTCCATTTGTTAACTATTCTGCCACTGAAAAAAAATCTTTCTAATGTCTCTGTGGCTCATTTGGGTACTAAGTTTTCACCTGTGTTCCCTTGATCAAATACCACTCGTGCTAAATAGTCTGTCTTTATATACCTTGTCAATTCCTCTGATAATTTTGCAGGTGGTAATCATAATTCCTTTAATTTTACTGTCTTCCAGTAACGTGAGGTTTAATTCCAATAGCCTTTCCTCGTAACTCACTAGTCTGGTGGCATACCGCCTTTCGACAATCATTAGCTCAATGTAGTGACTCTTTTCATTAGTTGTTCTTATATTTACATTAAAAACTGTGTATCTCATTGGTTTCAACAACTTGCTCATTTAGTTCATTCCACTTATTATTAGGCTAAACAAAGTTCTTTCTGACATCCCTGTGTCTCATTTGTGTTTCCAGTTTCCATTTATGTCCCTATGGCCATTATTTCTATATCTATTTTGTCAAGCCCCTTTAGTATCTTGTACGTCGTTATCATATCATATCATATCAGGGTCCAGTTCCCTCAGTCTTTTTTTAAATTAAAGCTGAGTCCTCTTTACTCAAGAACAAGCCTTGTTTAATATTTTTGTACTTTTTTATTTGTATTTTGAACTTGGTTAGGTAAGGGTTCCATTCTGAGGGAGCATACTGAATAATAGGTCTCACAAAGGTTGTATACAACGCTCAGAAGGGATCTTTTACTCAAGTTCCTGAAGGATAACTGGACGTTTACCAGTATGCATAGGCCTTCGATTTTTTTTCTGCTGATGTGTGCCTCTGGTGTTAGATTTCTAGTTATGTCCACTCTTGAGTCTTTCTCTTTTTTAGAAGTTGCTTTGCCTTCATCATGTACTGTATTTGAGGTCTTCTTGCTCCAACTCCTATCCTCATAACCTTGCAATTGTCAGGGTTAAAATTTATTAGCCATTTCTGAGACCATCTCTGGAGATTGTCTGGGTCATCTTGTAATGTACTGCAGTCCTCAGTTTTGATTAGCATTGATTTTAGGAAGATTTTGATCTGTCTCATTAGCTTAGCATCGTCAGCAAACATGGATAAGAATAAGCTTACCTCCCCTGTTAAATAATTTTAATATATATTAGGCGAGGTACTCCACTCATTATATCTCTTCATTCTGACAGTTCTCACCTTACTATGACTCCTTTGTCTTCTTCATGAAAGGTATTCCTTCGCCCAATTTAGTACTTTTACCAATGGCTGTTTCTCGAGTTTGCATAGGATTCGCTGGTGAAGAACAGTGGTAAAAGTATTCTAGCAATCCAGGGAAAATATTGTTTGCTATGTTGATTATTGGAAATAAAATTTATATATTCTGAATGACCGATATGCTTTCTTTGAATTAGTCTCTCTAATATCTTAGAGGGAATTCTTGTTAGTGATACCGATCTGTAGTTCAGTGGCTCCTTTCTTCATCTTTTCTTGTATATAGGTACCACATTTGCCACTTTCCAAATGTCAGGAAGTTTCCCATTTTTAGTGAAGAGTTGAAGACTAGCAAGGGGTACACACAGTGCTGCAGCTGCCCCTCTTATGATCCAAGGTGAGATCTTGTCAAGGTCTGTGGCTTTCATCACCTCCAGTTCCTCTAATTATTTCTTTACATCCTCTGGCGTTACTTCTATTTCGATCAATCTTTTTTCCTGGTAGCACCTGCTCCTTAGGAAGTTGTACATCTGTGGACAGTTCTGGCTCAATCTTAGAAACTTCCTGCAAGCTTTGATTGAGTTCTTCACAATTTGTGTAACCTCCTCTCTTGTCTATGCAGGTAATACATAAAAACCTTGATTATGAATCAGCTCAATACTTCAAGACCACTTTTTGGGTTCAGTTGAAATCCAGATTATATTACTTACGTCGTATCGTGGTTCAGTGGTATTACGCGAGTGCTCGGGAGTACCCAGAGATAAGGTTCAAATCCTCCTCATGGCTCCAATTGATGTTCTCATTGATATATCACATTAATGTGATTTGTACATTTTATTATTATTATTATTATTATTATTATTATTATTCGTAGAATGCACTGTGTGGTGTGTTCGTGCCTGCCATTCCGATACCTGGGTTCAATAACATGTGAAAGATGCATTCCCTCTCCAACTCGGAATTATTCATAAAATTACATGAAGCTGAAACCGTATACTCGATACACAATTGGGAGTCTCCACACGGACCTCTACACACATATACCCCACATACTTGTTTATATCAACTTGTACACCCACAAACACGGTAAGGGGATCCCATACGCGAAACATATATTCCGGATATAGAATTTATTTAACACAAACCGTTAGCAAGAGGAGCGTGTGAGGCGGTGGGCAGAGTGACAACAGGTGCAGGATACCACCAGAACATGACAAGCTTTGAGAGCTCCCGGACAAGTTGCCACACTAGACATTTTCAGAGTTCATGCACCGACATTTTATTTCTCATCGAGATCAGTTTCCCGCCGGTCTGGAAGCTATACTTGGGGGGTGAGAGATGAGAGATGTTGGGGGGGTGTGAGGGGGCTCACCTGGAGAGGTGGCGTGGGTGGGCGCAGCACCTGCCACCTGCACACTCTCATTAATGCTGGGACGTCGCCTTCCTTGTGTACCAACCCACGGGAGACACTTCCTCCTCATGTAACGCCACTCTCAGTACTACACACTTCCTCCCTTGGCTCTCTTGGCCTCAGGCAAGACACTTCCTTCTTGCGTAACGCTCATCAGTGAAGACACTTCCTTCCTCTGCTCTCTTGGCCTCCGTGAAGACATTTCCTTCCTCTGTTCTCGTGGCCTCTGTGAAGACACTTCCTTCCTCTGCTCTCTTGGCCTCAGTGAAGTCACTTCCTTCTTGTGTAACGCTGTTTAATGAAAGTAATGTATTAGTTTCTGGAGATGCAGTCCAGATATCTCCAGAAGAGCTGCTCTCAAACTGTTATAACTTGAAAAATGCCTCTTTACTTTACAATAATTGTGACATAATTTTGTATGAATCGTTCTATTGTTTTGAACAATTGTTACGCAATAATAATTTTTTGCAGATGGGTTCTCGGTTTTGCTCGGGTCTTTCTCCCCCCTCCCCCCTCCCCCCTCTTCCTTTCTTTAGCATGGGTGTTTCTCCCATACCCCTTATGTGTCATCTTGCTAAGCTTGCTAAGCATCTTGCTTCATCTTGCGAAGCATTTGTGTCTTTCTATCTTGGGCAGAAATGCAGACATAGAGACTTGACGTTCTATTTTATAGATATAGATGAACATTTTGTTTAAACGAGAGCATTCAATGTGCTGTAGAATATTACTAAATCACAGTAGCTATAAAATGGAAAACCACTTTTTATTAGCTGATTGTGTTAATTAACATAACAATTGAGAAAAACAGATCAAACGTTATCGATTCATGCGAGGCAGCTTATCTCCATACACAACCACACAAACTCACATATATTTAAGATATATACAAGAGTTGTTACATTCTTGTACAGCCACTAGTACGCGTAGCGTTCCGGGCAGGTCCCTGGAATATGATCCCCGCCGCGAAGAATCGTTGTTACAACCAAGTACACATTTTACTGTTGCGTTAAACAGAGGCTACAGTTAAGGATTTGCGCCCAGTAAATCCTCCCCGGCCAGGATACGAACCCATGACAAAGCGCTCGCGGAACGCCTGGCGAGTGTCTTACCACTACACCACGGAGACTGTCCGTGTTGATATTGATGATATGTTTGAGACACTCGAGGTGTGTGGAGTGTTTCCAAACACTCCAGTAAGAAGTGTTGTGTTCACCAGCAACCTGCTCCATCAATATGCAACCATATATCCAAACTATTATTTACAGAAATCTTTACTTTATCTAATCTTATTCGATTTGTATCCAGCGTTTCGTGGTATATTTTGTTCTTGATATATTTAGCACCCTAATAATATACGTTTGTTATACTTTTGTGCAAGTTTATATACTTCAATCATGTCCCATCTTAGTCTCAGTCTTCTAGAGAAAGTAAATGAAGCTTTCTTAAACTACCTTCAAAAAGAATATTGACTTTTAATATTATGTCTAAACAGAACTGCATAACCAAACTGGAGCCTAGCTCGCGCAAGACAAAGCTGAAGAACAATATTAATTGTTTTAATACTAATAATTTACATTTGTGGTCAAGAAATTCCAAATATTTATAATTTACCTCAAATTTGTGCTAAAGCTACAAAGGTTCCATTACATCACCGTAGTTAATATTACAGTGGGCATGAATTAAAACAATTAGGAGCTTACAGAGCGTCCCGTTTTCTTGAATTACCACACCGTATAATATAATGGGGTACTAAAACGAATGAACCCAGGCCACTTAACCTAACCTTACCATGGTACGCATAGAAAACGTGGATATTTGTGAGCCGTAGCCTTACATAGTACCAATTATTTTGTACGTTGGTGACCATACCGTACGAAATGAGGCACATTAGCTGAGAGGACAGGTTGGAGTATATATAGATAAATACACTATACCTACAATAGGCAACACAGGGATTTTGGGAAACGTGTTATTCCGGATTCAATAGTTGGGCATTTCGTGAACATTTGTGATAAAGAGTTACCTCAAATTTTCATTTTGTTTTTAAACATTCAGTTAATTACATTGTGATGCGAGATACGTGAGAAGTTTGGCTGGCAACGTTTACATCTGATGAGTTGTGCATAAGAAAGTGATTTTCAACGGTACCCCATAGACGAGCCTAAGCCTAGCAGTAGTATAACGTTTAGATGTCTGATGACCTTATAGGAAGACACATAAATATGTGTCTTCCTGAATATTAGTACGATGATGGATGAAATAGATTTTTTTTTTTTTTGAGATATATACAAGAGTTGTTACATTCTTGTACAGCCACTAGTACGCGTAGCGTTTCGGGCAGGTCCCTGGAATACGATCCCCGCCGCGAAGAATCGTTGTTACAACCAAGTACCCATTTTACTGTTGAGTTAAACAGAGGCTACAGTTAAGGATTTGCACCCAGTAAATCCTCCCCGGCCAGGATACGAACCCATGACAAAGCGCTCGCGGAACGCCAGACGAGTGTCTTACCACTACACCACAGAGACTGGTGAACAAGCGTAAAATTAAACTTTATACTTTCATTAATTAGATAGAAGTGATCTATCATCCGTCTTAAATATTTACACCACCACCTCTCCACATTTCAGAACTCAGCTCGCCTCGAATGATTTCTGTTTACACATGTGGGAAGAGGAGCATGCAGATGACCATCTACCCTTCCCATAGCTCACGGTAAGCCTCACCACTGTTAGTTGTCTCTGCAACACGACTCGTCAACCAGTTAACAACCCAGTACCCAATTATTGCACACAAGTCACCACACATACACATGGCACACCACAAACACGTGAACGACCATTCCTACATGACTCGCCACATGGGAGAAAGATCTAAGAGTTGAAATCACGCCAAACCTGTCTCCTGAAGTCCACATTAAAAGAATAACATCGGCGGCGTATGCGAGGCTGGCTAACATAAAAACTACCTTCAGAAACCTGTGTAAGGATTCCTTGAGAGCCTTGCATACCACATAAGTAAGGTCAATCCTAGAGTATGCGACCCCAGCATGGAGCCCGTACCTTGTCAAGCACAAGATGAAAATATAAAAAGTTCAGAGGTATGCCACTAGGCTAGTCCCAGAACTAAGAGACAAGAGTTACGAGGAAAGGCTGCGTGAACTGCACCTCGCGTCGCTGGAAGACAGAAGAGCTCAGGGAGACATGACCACCACATGCAAAATTCTCAGGGGAATTGACAGGGTAGACAAAGATGGATTACTTAACACGGGTGGTACACGCACAAGGGAACACAGGTGGAAGCTGAGTACCCATATGAGCCACAGAGACATTAGAAAGAACGTTTTCAGTGTCAGAGTAGTTAGTACGTGGAATGCACTAGGAAGTGATGTGGTGGAGGCTGACTCCATACACTGTTTCAAATGTAGATATGATAGAGCTTGAGAAACTCAGTAATCTGTACACCAGTAGATTGACGGTTGAGAGGTGGGACCAAAGAGCCAGAGCTCAACCCCCGCAAGCACAACTAGGTAAGTATATACATGACTCACCACATACATGACTCATCACACACATGACGCACTACACTTGATTCAAAACACACACGACTTACTGTATGCATGATTTACCACACGACTCACTACACATGACTCACCACACACGACTCACTACACATGACTCACCACACATGACTCACCACACATGACTCACCACACATGACTAACCACACATGACTAACCACACACGACTCACCACACATGACTCACCACACATGACTCACCACACATGACTCACCACACATGACTAACCACACACGACTCACCACACATGACTCACCACACATGACTCACCACACATGACTAACCACACACGACTCACCACACATGACTCACCACACATGACTCACCACACATGACTCACCACACACGACTCACCACACACGACTCACCACACACGACTCACCACAAATGACTCACCACACACGACTCACCACACGACTCACCACACACGACTCACCACACACGACTCACCACACACGAGTCACCACACATGACTCACCACACACGACTCACCACACACGACTCACCACACACGACTCACCACAAATGACTCACCACACACGACTCACCACACACGACTCACCACACACGACTCACCACACACGACTCACTACACACGACTCACCACACACGACTCACCACACACGACTCACCACACACGACTCACCACACACGACTCACCACACACGACTCACCACACGACTCACCACACGACTCACCACACACGACTCACCACACATGACTCACCACACACGACTCACCACACATGACTCATCACACATGACTCACCACACGACTCACCACACACGACTCGCCACACACGACTCACCACACACGACTCATCACACACGACTCACCACACACGATTCATCACACATGACTCACCACACACGATTCATCACACATGACTCACCACACATGTAACAGTGCCCAGGTGTAAGAGTAACAGTGATCAGGTGTAAGAGTAACAGTGACCAGGTGCAAGAGTAACAGTGCCCAGGTGTAAGAGTAACAGTGATCAGGTTTAAGAGTAACAGTGCCCAGGTGTAAGAGTAACAGTGCCCAGGTGTAAGAGTAACAGTGCCCAGGTGTAAGAGTAACAGTGACCAGGTGCAAGAGTAACAGTGACCAGGTGTAAGAGTAACAGTGACTAGGTGTAAGAGTAACAGTGACCAGGTGTAAGCATAACAGTGCCCAAGTGTAAGAGTAACAGTGACCAGGTGTAAGAGTAACAGTGCCCAAGTGTAAGAGTAACAGTGACCAGGTGTAAGCATAACAGTGCCCAAGTGTAAGAGTAACAGTGACCAGGTGTAAGCATAACAGTGCCCAAGTGTAAGAGTAACAGTGACCAGGTGTAAGAGTAACAGTGCCCAGGTGTAAGCGTAACAGTGACCAGGTGTAAGAGTAACAGTGCCCAGGTGTAAGAGTAACAGTGCCCAGGTGTAAGCATAACAGTGCCCAGGTGTAAGCGTAACAGTGCCCAGGTGTAAGCGTAACAGTGCCCAGGTGTAAGAGTAACAGTGCCCAGGTGTAAGCATAACAGTGCCCTGGTGTAAGCGTAACAGTGCCCAGGTGTAAGAGTAACAGTGCCCAGGTGTAAGAGTAACAGTGCCCAGGTGTAAGCATAACAGTGCCCTGGTGTAAGCGTAACAGTGCCCAGGTGTAAGAGTAACAGTGCCCAGGTGTAAGAGTAACAGTGCCCAGGTGTAAGCATAACAGTGCCCAGGTGTAAGCGTAACAGTGACCAGGTGTAAGAGTAACAGTGCCCAGGTGTAAGAGTAACAGTGCCCCGGTGTAAGCGTAACAGTGCCCAGGTGTAAGAGTAACAGTGCCCAGGTGTAAGAGTAACAGTGCCCAGGTGTAAGCATAACAGTGCCCTGGTGTAAGCGTAACAGTGCCCAGGTGTAAGAGTAACAGTGCCCAGGTGTAAGAATAACAGTGCCCAGGTGTAAGCATAACAGTGCCCAGGTGTAAGCGTAACAGTGACCAGGTGTAAGAGTAACAGTGCCCAGGTGTAAGAGTAACAGTGCCCAGGTGTAAGAGTAACAGTGCCCAGGTGTAAGAGTAACAGTGACCAGGTGTAAGAGTAACAGTGCCCAGGTGTAAGAGTAACAGTGCCCAGGTGTAAGAGTAACAGTGACCAGGTGTAAGAGTAACAGTGCCCAGGTGTAAGAGTAACAGTGACCAGGTGTAAGAGTAACAGTGATCAGGTTTAAGAGTAACAGTGACCAGGTGCAAGAGTAACAGTGACCAGGTGTAAGAGTAACAGTGACCAGGTGTAAGAGTAACAGTGACCAGGTGTAAGAGTAACAGTGACTAGGTGTAAGAGTAACAGTGCCCAGGTGTAAGAGTAACAGTGACCAGGTGTAAGAGTAACAGTGCCCAGGTGTAAGAGTAACAGTGATCAGGTTTAAGAGTAACAGTGACCAGGTGCAAGAGTAACAGTGACCAGGTGTAAGAGTAACAGTGACCAGGTGTAAGAGTAACAGTGCCCAGGTGTAAGAGTAACAGTGCCCAGGTGTAAGAGTAACAGTGACCAGGTGTAAGAGTAACAGTGCCCAGGTGTAAGAGTAACAGTGACCAGGTGTAAGAGTAACAGTGCACAGGTGTAAGAGTAACAGTGCACAGGTGTAAGAGTAACAGTGATCAGGTGTAAGAGTAACAGTAACCAGGTGTAAGAGTAACAGTAACCAGGTGTAAGAGTAACAGTGCACAGGTGTAAGAGTAACAGTGATCAGGTTTAAGAGTAACAGTGCACAGGTGTAAGAGTAACAGTGACCAGGTGTAAGCGTAACAGTGATCAGGAGTAAGCGTAACAGTGCTCAGGTGCGGCAGGTCCCAGGTGTGCCAGGTAGCAGTGTAAACGCCACCAGTGCCAATCACCGCAACAGCTATACACCCGGGGGATGGGGGTGGCGGCGCCTCGACCTCCCCCCCCAACCTTAAGTCTGCCTTGCACAGCGCTGCTCCGGGAAGATTGTCGTGGTTGCAGTGGGAAGCTTGTATAAAGTCAGGTTAAAGCCGATGGTTGCTAAACCATTCCTCTAACTCCAGCCTCACACCACGTGACGGCACCATCAGAGACTCCCGGTAACAACCGCAGCTCTCAAACAACCTCTTGATTACGCTCGTGGAACGACCGAACAACCTTCCGTGGGTTGTTTGTTTTTCTCTCTGGCCCTGTTAATTACGGCGGAGTATTTGTTTGATCAGAAGGATCCCATTAGCGAACGCTGGAAGAACGCGAATACACTGTTGATGTACGGGGGCGTCGTGCATGTGGAGCTGTGGCTGATGCTTGTCTTGTCTTGTGAAAAATGGACGAAAGATTGCGGAAGTTTCCACAGCGTAGGCTTGACGTCGCAAGACATGTAAACAGTGCCAAACACCTTCAAGTCTCTCCCCTACCATCTCATGTCTACCACCCTCGCCTCATAACACGAGCAATTAAGACATGAGGTGTGCCTTCATCTCTATGCCAAGCAGCTTCTAAAAGACTGCGTCTTGACCTGCATTTATCGGGACAGTTAAAACGGTTGTGCGGTTGTTGAGGTGTGGTTTGCGTGGGGGAGAAGGGGGTGGACGGTGGGGGGATAGAGGGGGGAGGGAGGTTAGGGGTTGTGGGCGCGCCTGCCCCACTCACCCAGGTTGAAAGCGGCGCTCATTCCCCACCTAGGGGCGTACAACTCGTCCCCTCTCATGTCGGTGTGTGAAAGTGATTTCCCCTGTGATTCAAAACGGATTTCTACCCATTTTCGAGGAGGTATATCTCCTCCAGGACGGGTCACGCGGCCAGGGAGGAGGAGTGACCTGCTCAGGAGGCCCAGGTAAGGAGATTTATTTCGTGAATGGCGTTAAAGATTAAGTTTATTCGAACGGTGGGATATGTAGCTCTGAACTTGGGCTATTCTTAATCTGACTGTTTGACGGTCGGCGTGGTGAGGAAGCAAACCAATAGACGCTCAAGGAACTTATACCACCAGGACAAAAATACCATTGCCTCTGGTAACTGTTATAAAGTATTTAATTTCCCCCGAAGTGAATGTGATACGAGAAACGAACAAACTCGGACTGTGTGAGGTGGAGATGTGGCACCACCGCTGGGCACAAGTTCATGAATGGGTGGGTTGGGCACTGTCCTCCCGCCATGGTGTCGCGATGTGCACCTGTGTCTTAATAACACATATTCCTCGCAGCCTGGGTGTCCAGCCAGGCTGCCAAGCACCACAGTTACAGGCGTACCAACCACAGAAACTACACCACAATGTTGCAC